GGGGGGGGGGGGGGGGAGGGGGTGGGTGGCAGAAGAAAAAAAAACAAAGCCAAAAAAAGCTGGGGGCAAGTCTATTGTCAACTTGAGTCAATTGACCCAAAAAGTCTGAATAAAGGGTACCCGACCAAGTCTGTCAATAAAACGCTTATGTAACAATAAGAGAATAGAATGCTCAATAGCCGTGACAGCAAGCCAATAAGAAAGAGAGAATTCAATGTACAATACGAGGAGTCTATTGTCTGTAAAGTAAACCAACTCTCTCTTGCCATCCGAGACCCCGTCCATTCACAACGAATATTGCTCATGAACTTTCTTCTTGATTCGAATTGGGGAAAAAGAACCCTTGCACTCAGCCACGTGATTCACCTAGATCGATGACCATCTGCCGCCAAGGTGAGCTCCAAAGAGGAGAACCTGGGTAGATTCTGAGAACACTATTGGTGGACGGCTACAATAACAGCGAAAGATGGCCCCAGCTTCCCCGCTTGAGAGCACGAACTCGGATTGTGCCATTTTACCCACAATTTGACTGTTGTTGTTGTTTCGTTTGTGTTTGTGTTTGCCCGTTTGGGTCAGTCTTTGCCGCTATTCCCACAAACTTTACTGACAACGTCAACCTAGGAGTCTTCAACATGACATTATGTACACAATTGTTTGCCTCAAACTGACCAGAGAAACTTAATAGATTCAGTGATCTACAGCAAAAGTACACAAATACAGATAAGAGACAACATCGTTTAAACCAGCAACACCACACAGACAAGCCAACGCCAGCGCTATGCATATAGCAACCCAACTCCTAATCATCAGATAATCCCACCATAACTCATCATAATCCCCAACATAACCATATCATCAAACACCATCATTATCATCACTCCTCATCCTCATCATCATACCTCCCCAAAATCGCCCTACTAGCATCACTCCCCCTCCTGTCCTCCGCCAGTGCATCCGCCCCATTCCCGTTGAGCCTATTCTGTCCGTTTAGCTTAAACCCCTCAATGATCTCTGCCAACGCCTCTCCCTCCGTCCTTCCCCTCTCCACATTGATGAACCAAATAAACAGCGCCGGCGTACCCACAATCGCCGCCAAGAACCAAAACGCCGGCCTGATCTCCCCGCTCGCATCGATAATCGCCCCCACAATCGCCGGTCCAAACACGCTCGACCCTTTATCGGTGATAGCATAAAGAGCATAAAAAGCGGCCTCGGATCCGGGCGGGATGAGTTCTCCGTACAAAGAGCGGCAATAGCCTGACAAGCCGCCGAGGACAAACCCGTAGATGGCGGCGAGGGGGTACATCTCCCATGGCTGCTGCAAGCCACCGACGCCCCATGCTTGGACAAAGGGGAGATAGCCCATAAGCCCGTAGAGAGGGATGAGCTCAAAGAGGGCGATGCATGCCAAGATGGTTTGATGGGCTTTGAGGCGGAATTTTCGGGAGATGAAGGACCACGAGAAGGCGCCGAGGATGCCCGAGGCAGTAGAGATGACGTTGATCATACCCAGAGCCCAGGGTTCCATGTGGAGTTGGGTTTTGGCAAAGAGAATGGCGGTCGACGAGGTCGTAGCAATGGCATCCGAAAGCAAGAACCAGCCAGCTAGAAAGAGAACAATGTCCACGAGGCGCCGGGCGAGATGGATGGTGCGGAACAGGGACTTCCAGGCGTAGATGGTGTAGTGGAACAAGGCGCGGATGCCTCCGGTGTTGGATTTGGTGGGTAGGGGAGGTCCCGGACGTGGTCGTAACCACATGGCGGCTGGAATGGTGAAGATGACCCACCATGCACCGATAACGCAAAGCACGATCCGCTGTGACCAGGTAGTGTTCTTCAGTGTGATCAGAATGGCGATGGCCACGCACTGCAGGAACAAGCCGGCAATGTAACCGATGCCAATGCCCTTGGCTGAGATCTGCGTGGACAGTTCCAGTTCGCGAGACGTCAACTCCTCAGTCGTCTGGACTCGGGAAAGCGGTTCGCCTTCATCGTATCTTCGGCTTCCGAGCAAGGCAGTCGTCGAGTTGCGCGTGCTATCCTCCTGGTACTCATCGTCCTCATCATCGCCCTCTTCGGTAGTCGCATACCCTGGCGAGCCATAGTCCCCAACCTGATCGATCTCGGGGTGATGCCTGACCAAAAGCGGCAAGAACGAGTTCAGCAGCACAAAGGAGGCACCAAACGAGGTATTCGAAATGATGGCCAGCAGAGCACCAATGAGATAAGTGCTCTTGCTAATGAAGATGTAGGCCATTACACACGCGCTTCCAATCCATGCGAATGCAAGTAGCAGCTTCTTTCGAAAGTTGCCATGGTCCGCGGCGCAACTTATGCTGACGACCAACAAGGCTTGCAGCAGGACGCTGACGCTGAACGTGTACATGGCGAAGCTGGCCGTGTTGATTTCCATGCCAAGTACGTAGACGACACATTGTCCTTCGGCAGAGGTGGTATGCTTATCGGAGCTGGAACCGCAGGGTTTCGATCGGTCGGAGAGGAGGACGCCATTTTCGCGAGCTAGACTTTCGAGGAGAATTGGGATGAAGGAACCTGTTTTGGGGTGCGTGTAAGTCATGCAGTTCGGACGATTGTTGTCGGCTCAGTCAATAGGTGCATCAACATACCGATACCTGTCAAAACATGTCAGTCAGCTTGAAAGAGTCAGACGAAAAGATGGAATTGATGATGATAATACTGACCGCAAATAACATAGACCTCAGCAGCAAAGGCATAGGCATACCATCCCGCGAGTTCCTTTTGGCTGGTGGGGCGAGTGTCGTCACCGGGGTATCGTGGGGGAGGCAGGCCGCTGCTGCTGTCGCCGTCAGTGTCGTCGCCGTATGGGTAGGAATCGCTGTTGTCGCCAGCGTTGGCAGGACTCATCCTGCCGGACATGGTGGTGGTGATCCAGTCGGCAAACGAGAGAGTGTCGGATCGCTCGTCGTCGGCTTCGAAGCAGGACGAAGTGTACGAGTAGAAGGATCGCTTGGAGGCCTTGGACGCGTAGGATGCGTAGGATGAACGGGAAAAGAGTCGCGGAGCTGGTGGCGGTCGGAGAGATTCGTCCCACTGGATGTCTCCATTGTAGACGTGGTTCACGTTGTTGTGCCGTGGTGTCATTGCGCTGTACTTTAGGTGTACGCTAGGGCCCGTTGCAGGGCATTGATAGGCGTAGCACTCTCGTCACCTTCAGTGCGTGGACCACACCACTGTGAGCAAATCAAGGGCCTCGCTTCGCCCGAGTCCGGCAGGCGGTGTGGATCCCCCCGCTAAGGTATGTATCGTACAGGGCAGGTACAACTGCAGGTACCGCTGTCTGCCTTCCAGTCCCAGCAAACCGATAACACAGCAAAAACAACCCTCCGTCCAGGAACTTGAATTGGATTTGCACGACTCGCTCTTCTGTACCTCTCAATCTTCCAGGTAGAACCTCGTAATACCAGGTCCAGCTTCCTTCTCGTTTGCTGACCAGTCGAGAGTCGCAAGGTCGGACACTCAGTAGCGAACACCAGAGTCGGCGCGTTGGTGGCTGAATGAGGAAAGCGGGGGCGCTTAAAGTCCGAGCTGTCGTAAGGTATTCAATCGGAAACAGGTGTCTCGGAGGACAATGGGCCTAGATGATAACGGATGGCGGTAGGTCGAAGTGGTCGTCGAATGAGCTGCGATAAGTTGAGTACCTATAGTATAAGTAGAATAACTTTTGAAAAAAGTTCAACATGCAAAAAAGAGCAGATAATGGTATTAAAGCAATTGTCTTAGAGTCAGAAAAAAAGCGGCTCAGTCTTGCTTTCCTGCTTCGATCAAAGCAGTTCGGTCCGTTGGAGGAGCCCTTTCAGACTTTCAGGGCGCAAAGGGCGCAAAGGGCGGCTCGGTGACTGATCACCCACTTCACATTCCCTCTTCAAACAAGAAAATCGCAAGTGAGAGGGACCAAGACCCATACTATTCAAGACATTATAGCTTGAAATAGTACAAGAAGAGTGGCACCGCCAGGTTTTTAAAAAAAGTTGAGGGGGAGAAAGAAACTCTTCAAGTCCGCATGAGCAGATCGCTCGATTCTTGGCACTAAGGGTCAACTTCCCCTCTCCCACTTGTAGTGTAGCTTACAGACAGGACCCTACCTTTGACCACCCAAGTCGGTGATGCCCAAAAGCCAGAGCACAAAGTGTGATGAAGCTGCAAACTGACGGCATTCCGAACCCCCAGAAAACCAGGGCTCAACGCAAGCAGGCTCCGAAGAGGAGTGGCTAAAAAAAGTTGGTCCCCTTTTTCTTGGTTTTGGGGTCCTGGAGCTGGAAAGCAGTGCAGTGCATGAACGGGAAGTGGGGATGGGATGGATGGCCTCCACCCACTAAGTGAATGGCTCGGAGGCCGGCATCATCCCTAGGAGGTTTGTTTTCGCCGTAGGGCTGCTGATCATTTACCGGATGAGGGGGGGCTTTGCTATGCAGACAAGCTCATTCCCAAATGTTTGCTCTGTGCGTGCGTGCGTGCGTCGTGCGTGACTGGAACGCACGCAACGCTTTCCAAGGACGAATGGAATTTTTGGATTCTTTATCGCTACCGTACCGTCCTCTCTGTTTCTGCGAGCCGGCGCGGTTGGGATGAGGTCCGTCCGGTCTCGGTGTTCCGGCCTTCGGTGTGAAAGGGTAGGTAGTACAGGTGCCGTCGGTACCAGATTTGGTTCGAAGAGTGTGACGGAGGACTAGACATTTTCCTGCTTATGGAACGAAGTGAAGATATTGAAAAGACACCATTGCCAGTTCTTGGCTGACGGCAGACCACCTAACTACAACGTACATAACAATCATAAAACATCTCTGTTGATACTCCCACCCGTGGTGGTTTGGAGCGTCGCATTGAATCCTGTTCAGTTGCAAATCTGGGTGTTAGTCACCGCCAAGACATCCATCCATCCCAACTGCCAACTTCAAGAAGTGTGATGAATATTAGAGGGAGTGGACAGCAGCTTGCTATCAAATCCCCAAACCACAAAATCTATCCAAAAGCTATCCCCGAGAAGGCCAGACGAAGACAAAAAATGGGTATTTGGTATAACAAAAACTAGCCTTTCCCTCCCCTTCTCAGCTCTCCAATTCAAAACGCGCACATTCACTTCAGCTCAGCTCAGCTCAGCTCAGCCCACCCCCCGCATGCCGAGCGCCGAGCCGAATCTCCACCCCATCCTTTCGGGCATCCCTCACTCAGTGACCCGGACCGTCCCCAACATGCGAAACCTCAGTCTCATGCCCCTTTGGCTTCCCAAAAATCTTCCACTTCAACTTATCCGCCAGACTGTGCTGTCTCTCATGGGTACCATGATGATGATGATGATGATCACCACTAACACCAGGTATACCACCCGCAGTCCCCCTGTCCACCACCGCGGCAGCCTTGTGACTACTACCGTTACCAGTACCAGCCGGAGAAACGTGACGCTCGTTACCGGCGCCGCCCCGACCGGTGTGGTAGTTCTCCGTTTCCTGAGAGTGGCGGATGGCGGCGTCGGGGATGATGTCCTTGTCGACGCGGCGGTGGGGGGTGACGCCTGCGTCGCCTATGTTTGCTGCGCCTGTTGTTTTGTTTGAAAGGTATGTTAGTGATGAGTATCGATGGTGAAAGTGCGCTAGAGTCAGCTGGGGGTTAAACTGGAGATGGGATAGGGAACAACAGCGCTAGCGGGTTTCGGTGATTGGTCTTATCGCTGCTCTCTCTGAAAGGGATCTTGGCAAACGTGGGACAAGAACTCGCTTCCTTCAATCTTCACATGGATCCCCTTGACGCTTTCGAGCTTTCGCGAGCGCGCTGGGCTAGCTGGGCTTGGCTGGTGATAAGGGAATTGTATGTAGGTTGAGATAAGCGGTTGAATGGGTGCTTGACATCACACCACCTGGTCGCTTTCAGGTTTCTCTTTGTCTTTTCGTCGTTGTCGCAAAGGGGGTTGGTGATAGAAGGTATGGCCTCCTGCCTCAGCGTGTGCTGCCAATCTTTCCTCGTGCAAAGGGAAGGAAGAAGTGGAATGGAATGAATGCCTTACCTCCGCGACCGGTGCTGAACGCTCCATCGCCGTGGCTGCCTTCAGAGCCTGCTCTAACGACTTCTCCGTCAACGTACTTGGTGTCGTCGGGGTTGATGTTGCCGGCGCCGCCACGGCCGTGGGATACTTCGGGTCCTGCCATTGTAGTTGTGATGTCTGTCGTCGGTGCTCGCAAATGTGGAAAGCGAAGAGTCCGTCGTAGAATGTTTGATTTCTGTATGGTTTGTCGAGCTTTCAGTCACGGCGGGAGGTGCGGAAACGTGGGTGAGTCAAAACATCAACGACGAAGTCGGACGATGCCGTCTTTATAAAACATTTCGAACATTTTGCGCTGATCATCCGAGTCCGTTTACGGCTCACGCAGCCACACAAACGCACCCCGCGCAACCAACCACATGCATTACCTCTGAGAAGATGTTCTCGAAAGGGGTTATTCTAGGTGGTGATTAGCTAGGATACCTCGAGGATACTTATCAGTGGTCAATTCTAGATCGCCCGAATCTGCACTATACACTACATCATCGATCCCAAAATGGTGTTCCCTAACCGATATCTCCCTTGACACATGATGGGCGGCACGCCCGGATTCCCTGCAATTCCCTGCCAAGATGTCGAAACCAAACAGTGGCAACCACTCAGCATCGTCCGTCACAATGCCAAACACCAAACACCATTACGTTTTATCTCCAGACCCCAAATCTTTTTGGTGATGGATTGGGACCCGTCTGGATTTCCTCCAGTACACAAGTGAACGTGTGTTGCTGAAGAAAGAGACGGATGCAAAAGTTGCATGGAGGACGTGAGAGCTGAATTGAGCAATGCAGGTGCACCCCACGTTGCTTGGAAGGACCCTTCCTCTTGCGATGTAGACGGGAGGTACTTTGGCATACTAGTCTCATCAGTCGGTTTTTTTGACATTACCAGGTACTTGGCTTTTTCCCAGCATATGCCTACCGATTCACGTCTATGGTGATGACTCTGGTCGGATTAGGAAAGGTACAGTGATAGCAGCCCTCCCGCAGCAGGTGCAGGACAATTCGACCCTTCCGATTTCGCTTGCTGTGTGTGGTTCAGCTGGCGATCACTGATAAGATAAGAGCTTCTCCAGGTCTCCGCTGTCTGTGTCTGCCGCCTCTTTATTCGCAGCTTTGAACATGCAACGAACCACACGCCTCGATCGTCAACATGTCGATTTCTCTTCCATTGGACTTATCCTATCATGCACCACCTCAACGAATGCTACCTTTTTAACCAATCTAGTTAATTCAATTTCCCTCGTTACAGGAGGACTATGGAGACGATGATGAAGCAATAGAATTGGTTCTCGCCGTACAGAGGGCTATGTACATCCAAGGTCTCCTGGCCACTCTGGTACCTAGGTATCCAGCTCTGCCTTGGTTCATTTTCTAAAGCTGAACGGGCTGAGGTTGGCCCTTCATGTTGGGCATCAATGATCATTCCAGGCAGCCAATCAACTAGGTTTCGTCAAGGTTGACTACTTTCCCCCCATTTCGACCCGTGTTTTCGATTCCCTCGTCCTGACAATCTCAACAACTGTCCCCGAACATCTTTCCCGTCAATAGATTCAACATAAAGACGACCACTCTCTCTCTCTGGCGAACACGGCTCTTGCTGCTAGACGGAAGAAGCGCACCAGAAGCCGCCGGTCGACCGCTGGCCATCCTCGCATACCACCACACGACTGAGCTTAAGACTGCGTACTATGTCAACCAGATTGTGCGCCGTGTGCAATGGCATATTCACTGGGCTGCTTGTTGACAAGAGTTACATGCCTCATCATCAGTCCGTTGCCAGCCTCAGGCGATCCGCTGAGGAAGGATGCTATATCTGCAACCTTGTTTCCGCCATGCTCGAATTTGACAAGGTCTCTGACGATGAGGGTCCCTTCCGGTGGACGCTATATACAAACTCGGAAGAAAGACGTCATCACTTCCAACAGTATAAAACATATGGAAGCCTTGACATCGAGGCAAAGAATGCCACCTATGTTCTCAACTTAATGGATCAAGCTGGTAAGTCTACCGGATATTCTACCGAACCTATAACAAGGGCAAGGCGGGCGTGCATGAAATAACCCTTCGCAAATACAGTTTCGAATGCACCGATACGCTCTGTTGATCCTGGTGCCAGCCTTACTGATCAAGCAGTCATCGGGACTGCAAGATCCTGGCTAGAAAACTGTCGCCAAAACCACGCATCATGTGAACCAGTTGATCCTGCTTTCAACCCTACAAGGCTCCTCTACATCCACGATGCCTCCTCGGTACAGCTCATTGAAACCGAGAAAGAGGCAAAGACTCATGCTTACGTCGCTTTCTCGCATTGTTGGGGGAAGTCCAAGACTCTCAAACTACTCCAAGACGACGGAAAAGAAAAAGGCAACATCAAAGAGCTATGTTCACTCATCCAAGTTCAACATTTACCGACCAGTTATCGGGAGGCAATTGCTGTCAGCCTAGCACTTGGATTTCGACACATTTGGATCGATTCACTGTGCATCATACAAAATAGCTATGATGATTGGGCCAAAGAGTCCGCCATGATGAAGGACGTCTATGCCAACAGTTCTCTCAATCTTTGCGCTTCAGCTGCGGGAGATTCTTCAGAGGCGAGCTTCCAGCACAGAGATCGAGGCATCATTGTGCCATTGGAAATCGAACCCCATTGGACTGGTTATCTCCATGGCAACACTTGGGAGAAGCGCAAGCTTGGTCCACTTCCATCATACCTCCATCGGATCAAATTCAAACTTGTGAATAGTAACATGAACAACTCGGAGATAACCAACTCACCGCTCAATCTACGCGCTTGGGTTGTGCAGGAACGCGTTTTATCGAGGCGTCATCTTTTCATGACTTGCAACCAACTCTGGTGGGAATGCCCCGATATGTTTGCTTGCGAAGTGTTTCCAGGGATGTTTCCCGATTTCGAATATATAGAGGATGCAAGGGTCCAATACTATGCGCTAAACGGTCCTGGTCATCATTCTGTCTACGGCAGTCGCATGGAAAGGCTATGGGAAAGCCTTGTCATGCGATACTCCCGCTGCGATCTAACCTACCTATATGATAAGCTACCCGCGCTGTCAGGGCTTGCACAGATCTTCAGCGTCGCGCGAGGCCCAGACTTTTCTCTTGACCTAAACTCTTATCTCGCCGGCATTTGGCGACCTCATTTACCAAAGGCATTATGTTGGTATACGAAGTCCAATGAGAAAAGCGGCCAAATTCGCAGGTACCGGCCCCATCCATATCGTGCCCCCTCCTGGTCTTGGGCGTCAGTAGAGGGCCCGGTTGAGGTGAAGGGGTCTCGTGAACCGGTCTGTCGTGTAGTGGATGTTAAGGTAGTTCGCGAGGACGAACAGTACAAGGCCGGTACGGTAAAGGGCGGCATTTTGCACCTGGAATCCCATCTTATTGGACCTCTCACCCACGACGGGTCACACTCAGGGGGCTTCACTACAACTACGCCCCTAGACAGCCGTCTTCGGGCGACATTCAACACTATGCTGTTTCAAACATATTGGGACGAAGGTGATGGTGATTCCAGGGACCAATTCATCAGTTATCTAGATCCGCTTCCGCATACTGTGTCTGAGAATGGAATTGTCAAGGGCACAAGTGCGGTGCGGAAGAGGGTCCTGCTCAAGGATTTGGTGAGACAACGTTGCATTCGACTTTTCATTATTCCTTTGTTGGTTGATCATTCAATGGGTCAATTTACAGGATTGATTCTCTGTCAAATCGTCCGAAACCCAGGACTCGAAGGCGTCGATGAAGGTGCGGTTTTTCAACGTGTAGGGTACTTCATATATCACGAGATTAAGTGGGGGACGCTAGATCTCATTCCGAAAGACAGGTGTCCAAACATTACTTTTACGCATGGAATAGAGAAATCCTGTATCACAGAGTATCTGCCCAGTCCATGTAATGTCATGTCACGCTGCAACAACCAGACGAATTTTGCACCTCATTCTCCTCACCCTTGACCACCGCAAATCCAAGCCGCACTCTACCAAACATCTCTAGAACACACTAATGATAAACATCCCCTGTAGAAACTTCAGCAACCAGAAATTACCAAGGAGAACCGAACAAAATACGTGAGTGACCGCATGAAGAAATCTACTACCAGCGAAGAATCCTGGCTGGCTTGATCATACCTATTTGTGGCGGTACATAACTCTACAACCGCCAACATCTTTCAACACAAAGAAATAAAGGCGCGATGACCGAGTGGCCTAAGGTGTTTGACTCGAACTAGCGTCGAGGTCCTATCAAATCTCTTCGGAGGCGCAGGTTCAAATCCTGCTCGCGTCGTTTGAAATTCTCTTTTTTTGCAGCTTTTGACGATGCTTTTTGGTGTTTGGTTACTGGTGAGGGGTGGTTTGGCGTTTTGTGGCTTTTGTTTTTGATGGGATTAGGACAGAGCGAGGTGTGGAATGCACCGGATGTTGGCAGCCACGACACTTGGCGATTTGTGATCGGTTTACGAGGGAAGGAACAAGTGTTATGGTGTGCAAGTCGGAGTGGAGATATGGGCTTGATGGAAGGTACAGGCCTGGACTTGATTTGTGGTGTGTTGGGCAACTGCTAATCTATTGATCCGGGTCATTGCAAGAAGGTACAACGCGCTGAGGGTCTGGAGAGCAGTTCACGCCGGTCTTTTCCATGACACCCAACGAGACACCAAGATCATGCACTGGGAATCAATTTGTGGAGGCAGAATCTGTCTGATCTATGGGTATCACAAAGCCAATGACCTCCAGACGCCAGACACCTCATCCATCTTTTGGACACACCCCGATGATCAGTTCAATTCCTACCTGTCAGACTCCGCCAATCCCCTTCCTCTCGCTCATGCCACCTCTACCTCATGTTGCCAACCCATCAAGCCTGACCACGACGAACAGCATAGTTCGTCTCGCTAACCACCCCGTCACTCCTTTTCTTCACCTCACCAACCTCACCCGCACTCAACTGCCCACCGAACTCCACGCCATCGCTCCTTCCCAGAACCTTTACGCTCGCCGTACCGCCATCGACCGGATCGAACCACACCGCTACCTTAATAGGGGCGTTCTGATCCACGGGCCTCTGCATCCAGTTCGCGTCTCCAGCCGGGGGATCCAGATGGAATGTGGTTTCGGCCTTTTCCTTGCCGGCGTGCAGGATCTCGAAAATGTCCCATTCGCCGCAGCCTGAGTCCCAGCAGGAGCATCCGCCTTGGGGTTTTTGTTTTGTTAGTGGAGATGCTTGGCGGATGTTGGCTTATGTACCACAAACAAGCATCAACGGGACGGTAGGAGTAAAGCTGGTAGGTTTTCTCACATTGGTCACTCGCGAATTTCGTCGGCTTCTGTCTCATAGTTTTGTGTTGCAACTTTTCTGACGGAAATATGCCAAGTGTGCAATATGAATATTTGTATCGACGGAAGGGTAGGTGCAACTTGGGTTGGAGGTGGTTGCTACAACTTTGGGTCCCCGTTGGTTGGGAGAAAGCGAGGTGCTGTCGAAGTTTCTGGTGTTCTAGCCAAATTCAAGCCTTGGTTGAGAGCAAGTATCGCGGTTAGATACTGGAAGGGCCTCTTTGCTTTGGGAGACTCATGGAAGCGTCAGGTAAATACGCAAACACTCCTCTTGTAGGTGTCCGCTAAGTGCTGACTCGAACGTCGCAGCAATGGAACTTTGACTGCTCAATTGGCATGTTCACCTCGACCAAACGAATTGCTATATAATGACAAGAGTCGGGGAAACTAGATCCAAGTTGATTACCGACTTTCAACTTCGAATCGTGGACCATACAACTCGGTAAGATATGTGGGGGACGTATAGCTCTCTTATGGGAGAGGAAAGATTTTCAACAGATCACAAAACATCACGAAAAGCTCGAGAGCAACATGGGACTATGGATTTCGGTTGATATGGACTGGATTACTACCTGCAACCCTTCTGTGGGCGCTATGTGGCAATGAAGTTGCTGAAAAAAGCAAATGGGTATCTCGTGCGAGAAAAAATAAACAAGCAAAGACGCCAATTCCCAATCTTTTCTCTCAAATACTTTCAGCACCCTGACCTTTCCTTCCCAAGTCCAGCTCTTGCCCCCGATCCCATTCCCAGACACCTTATAAGTGGTCCAGGTCTTCTACCCATCCAGGTCCCCCTCTCGAGCCTTCTTTTCGCCTACCTCTAGGAACGGCGAATAGCGAAATCGCTAACCAACCCAGCACTCCTCGCCTTTAACGAATCCACCTCTCCCTTCGACAGGGTACTTCCGAACCTACTTCCATCACTGCCTCCCAACATCTTGACACTGACCTTCCCGCCCTCGCTCGGATCCATGTACAACAAGACCTTGATCGGCCCATCCACTGGCCTCTTGAACCAGTTGGGATCGCCCGCACCAAACGGATTCAAGTGGAATGTGCTCAAAGCCTTGGTGTCCGCGTTGTTTACCACTTCGAAAATGTCGAACTCTCCACAGCCAAAGTCCCAGCACGAGCACGTGCCGTATTGTTGGGTATAGGGAATCCTGGCGTTCAGAAGCCAGATGGCTGGCTTGTCGAAGCCGGGGTTCGCAGCATCGTGCGGCATGGAGAACTCAAACAGGAAGATGCGTGAAGTACCAGAGAACCCTTTGCGCGCTGTGGCGCCGGGTTGGACGTAGCCGCATGAGCCGTCAGCACAAGAATCCGAAGAGAAGATGGAAAAGTCGGCTTGGCCGGAGACAGGAGCGTCGGCGAGGATGGTAGGATTGGAGGCACCGCCGTCGCCGTGGGCGTTTGCGAAGGAGAGAGAGGCACCCCATGCTTCACTGAAAACACCGGAGCCTTGGCCGCCAAAATTACCCATGAACGTGAGGTGCTCGGAGGTTTGGGAGGCGGCGTGGTAGTAACCTTTTCGCTCGTAGGAGCCGCCAGCGCCGGGGAGGTAGAAAGCAAATTGCTTAAGATGAAGAGGGCCGTGGAAATGCATAGAGATCTGGTTTTGGATTGCTATCAGTACAGGTACAGGGAGTGGGATTGAGATTGAGGTGAAGGATAACTTACTGGTTCATTGAATGGTGCCAAAATCTCCACCGAAGGACCTCATAGCCATGTCACAGCGTTTGGTGTCCTTGTTCATGGACGTGACGGCCTTGTACTGGCCAGGAGGGGTGTTCACATTGGTGTAGACAACCTGTTGGACATTCTGGCAGAAGTGGTTTCCGTTCTCATCCGTGTCGTGACCCTTGCAGAGGTCCTGACTGCCGGTCTGCATTCTGGGCTCGGCGGGGCTGTCTGGGGTGATGGAGTGCGGGTTGAAGACACCAGAATCAGGAGGGCCGGCGTGAGCGCGGGGAAACAGACCAGAAGTAGAGCGAGAAGAAAGACCGTGGTGGAAACAAGGAAGAGAGTGCTGTTGATGGCAACCGAGTTGACGGATGCCGTGAAGAAGAGGAAGGCCACGAGAGCCATGATGAAGCTCGCCATGGACTTCATGGCGATGTTGGATGGTCGACTGTGGTCGGCCTTGCTTACTCGAAATTGACTGCTGTTCTCGAAGGGTTGAGATCTCAATATCCGAGTTGGTGATGGTAGAAAGGAGTTCAAAGAAGGGGAGAATGGGGTGTTTATATACTACTCTTGGAAATATTCCAGAAACTCCACTCAAAATATCCAAGTACACTTCACCTGCCATCGCCACCGGCTACGGCCACAAGTGAAGGCATCTCAAACCTTGCCGGCCGTTACCAATCCACTTCGTCCAAGAGTTTGGGACGGAAGTGGAAACAGAAAGCAGGAGTGAATGGACACATTTCCGCTGAATGTTCAGGGTACCGTACCGCAACCTTCATGCCAAGATATCGTCGAGTGTCCTGGAGCAAACGGCTGCGGTGGTGAAGGGTCCCGCGTGCGTGAAGGGTTGGGGGTGTGGGGACCCCGTCCCTTTGGCGACGGGACGGCATTAAGTGAAGGGGAAGTGTAAAATCTCGAAGGTTCTGGGAGTCCAGATGCGTGCTGTCCAGTCTGCCGTCCGGCACGAAAAACCTCATCATGAGTTCCCTTCACTGATTTTGCAGGGAATGCCGGAACGGATGTCAAAAGGCTTGAAATCAAGGCTCGCGGGGTATTTAGTAGAAATCTCTTTGACTGTTCCGCATGGCAATCTGCTAGACATGGATGGAACTCCGAAGTGACAGAAGACGAGGAGGAGATAACACCAGCAAGGAGAAACGAGGTAGTAGGTAGCATTTGGCTGTCCCTGGAGGAAGGTATAACTGTGAATATCTCTACAAGCAACGCCTGGACGAACATCCTTTAGAGCAGTAATGAAACTCCCCGACTTCCGCTGGCCTCGAGAAGATTACCTACCTAGCTACGTGCGAGTGTCTGAAGGTCACTGCCAAGCGGAAGGGAGATGAGAAGGAGATGGATTCAGTCAGTACTTCTCGAATAAGAGTAGTCAACCCGAATGTTCTCTCGAGTGAGTCTCCATGTTTGCGTCGTCACTCTGAACACAAGACACCATCCTTCATGGAGCTGCTACCACCATCCCCCTACATGTTTTTATTTCGCACTGGCCATGACTAGCCGGACTCAAGGCATGCTCGTGATGCTTATTAGTTTGATGGTGTGGGTAGAGGTAACTATCCGTCGCTCTGGTAGTCAGTCAAGTCTTTTTGATAATCTAGGTAGATATGCCGAGTTTCGCAGCTAATGGATGGCGATGCGAAGTTCAAGATATCTTACAATAACTCGAAGAAGACATGTGTGAATTGGAGTGGATAGGTGTAGGCTTCTGCTGGAATTTCGTTGTACGGGGCTCGATAGCAATGACGTTGAACATGCCGTCGCGGAGGTCGTCAAAAATGGCTTCTCTACGACTACCTACCTATGTTCAGGCTGAGCAAGACAAGGAAGAAAGTGCAATGTACGATGTTATAGTGTCGTGGTGATGAAGTGACTAAAAACAGAAGCGACCACCATGGCTACCTCTACGGTCCCTGCCTCAACGCAAGAGTTGACTGGCAGCTACCTAGGTAGAAGTTAAGGTACCTCTAAGCATTGCATGTCGTGTGTTTTCTGCAAGTCAACAGTGAATGCGGCGTCAACATGCATGATAAGACGAGACTTTGTTAAAGGGAAGTGCCATCAAAATTCCTACTGCGCGGGGTATCTCGAAAGCAATAACTCCCAAACGCCTATGCTACCTGTAATAACCATCTTCCTTCCCTCCAGACTTGTCCGTATCTTGTTGTCTTTTCTGAGTACCCCTTAATGGTTGGGATACACAAACTCCGAAACAAGACCACTCTTGGCCTTGAGACCCTCCACCTGGCTCGCAGAAAGGGAACCGCCAAAACGCTCGCCATTGCTGGCGCCCATGTTCTTGATCGAAACAGTGCCGCCTTTGGTAGAATCCATCACAACGGCGAGCTTGATGGGGCCCCCCGTCGGGCGCTGCAGCCAGTTCGCATCACCTGCCGACTTGCCGCCATCCCCCAGCTGGAAGGTGGAAAGCGCTTTGGTCTGTCCCTGGTGAAGGATCTCGAAGATGTCGAGCTCGCCGCATCCCGACTTCCAGCAGTTGCACTCGTGGTATTGGGCGGTGTTGGGGATACGAGAATTCAGCAACCAAATGGCAGGCTCGTTACCGCCAGCCTCACCGTTGTGTTGCGGTTCGTCCGGCATCGAGAATTCGAACAAGAAGACACGAGCCGAGCCGGGGAAACCCTCTGTGGACGGAAGTGGTTAGTGACTGGACTGAAGAAGGAACGGAGACGCCAAGAGGACAATGGTGACTTACTGTACGCAACCGCACCGGGACGTCGGTATCCACAAGAACCATCGCAGGGCTGGTCGGTGGTGGCGATGAACTCAGCGTGGGAGACTAGGGGGGCGTTGTGGATGGTTTGCGGCCCAGAAGCACCGCTGAGACCATCGGAAGAAACATAAGAAAGGGAGGCACCGAATGGACTGCCAGGTTTTGTTAGCTTGGTTGAATTGTCTCGAGGAATGTCGCAAAGAAGGGAACTCACCCGCCAGCGACGCCCGAGCCGGCGCCACCGCGGTTACCCAGGAACATGATGCCGTTCCTGGTCTGAGAAGCCGCGTGGTATTCTCCGATGCGGTTGTACGAACCACCACCGCCGGGAGTATAGACAGAGAACTACTTAAGACACAGAGGACCGCGGAAGACAATGGACAGCTGATGTGTGAGATGTAAGTATTCGTTCATTATAAGGAGTATCGGTTTGAACTTACCGGTTCATTGTAGGGCGCAAGGTCACCCTTGAACTCTCTCGGCGACATCCTGCATTCACCGGACTGGTTATCCATGAACGTCACTTCTTGATACGTACCGGGCTTCGTGACCTTGGCATAGATGATTTGATCAACCTTTTGGCAATACCAGTTGCCATGGCCGTTCGCGTCAACGTCTTCGAAAGTCTTGCCACGGTTGCAGAGCTCATCAGAGGTAACATCCGGTACGTTAAGATGTGGGTTAAAGTCGGGATCGGCGTCATAAGGAGACATCATGCGAGCGACGATGGTGGAATTGCCGTTGGAAGAGGTGAAGCCAGAACGAGAGAGAGAAGAAGAGCTGCGAGAAACAGCGACCGAGGTGACGCCATTCAAGACGCTGAGAGTGAGGAGGCTCACAAGGAGCCAGAACATCTTAAATATCATGGTTGGATCCTTCGTGATGTTGATCGTGGTTGATGTGTTTGGTGTTGCTGATCACTGCTGGCTTGAGTGACTCCGTTGTTGTGGAAGAAGGGAGATTTTGGTTGTAGGAGGAGGAAGGGCCCTTTTATAGTATTCCAGGAGAGGTTTCCGGCCCCTCAAGAACAGAGGAATTTCAGGTGGATTCTACGGCTTTACCATTCACTCTTAAGGCCAAGACGGGATATCGAACGGAGCAAACGATATGGTCGTCCAGGTGAAGGTATCTTGGTCTGATATATAAGGCGGGAAGTCTCCACTTGAAGAGGTTTTGGGACCTTCACTCCCCGTTCCCAACGGGCAGAGGTGGAGAGGAGGCACGGAATAAGGCTCCGTTTGAACTTCTGGAGTCCCTTCACAACAGAATTATATGGAACCTCTTGGGAGAAGCTCGACGAATATGCCAAGTGATATGCGAACGGATTTTGACCCGACAGATTGAGACGGCACGAACGTGGAGCCCTGTCGTCCACTTCACTGCCCTACCTACTTACCTTTCGGTGGAAAGCGTTTTTGTCGTCCCACGCTACCTACCTGTTGGCCGTCTCTTCACTGACAGTTGTCCGACCTTCCGTCCAAGTGGTCAATCTCAGGACGGTTTGTAGCTGTCAAGATCAGTGTCCGGGCTGTCAAACCTTTTTCCCGAGGGTGGCATGGTACCCTTCACCTCATGCGGTCCGTTGGCTTCATGGCAACCCATTTGGCTGAAAGAAATGGAGATGGATGTCTGCAGGACACGAAATAAGGCTTAAAGACATATGTAAGAGATATAAGCAGAGGGACATTATGGTGGTATGACCAAGTCCACTCTGGAAAATGCGTGCTTCCAACAAGTTTGACCAGTATAGGCCATGAAGACGTTATGAACAAGAAATTGTGCCGAATGCCATGATTCTCTAATGATGATTCTCATAAGATCTTAAATCATCCAGTGAAATACCAGTACCTGCATCTAATAATTCGTTTACCGAAGAGACCGGAGATGTAAAACTATGACATCTGGCTGTAATGGAATGTTGGCCTAGCATGGCAAAGCAGGAGGCAAAAGCAACAAGAAAAGGGAACCAAGATGGCAGTGGAAACAATTGTAGATAGAGGTAGCAGACGACACAAAATAGCAGGGAAAGGAAAGAGTACCTCAGAGGGAACGAGATAGATAAACAGCCCACAACTACCGTAACTCCTGGGTATCACCAAATCACTACCTAGGTAGGTAAGCATCTAATTCCCCTCTCAGGCCCCAAACGCCGTGCTTTTTCCCTTAAAATATCCCGACGATCAACCAGATCTCAACCTCACCACCACAACCCAGCCAACCTCATCATTCCCAAATCGCCGCTTAAGCAACCTCACATCCTCACGCCTCCCCCCTCCTAACCGCATAATCAATCTCACTCACCACCCCCTCACTCCTCTTCTTCAACCCTCCCACCTCTCCTTCCCCCAACCTCTCCCCGAACACCACCCCATCGCTTCCCCCCAGTATCTTCACACTGGCAGTACCCCCATCCACACCCCCATCAAACCAAACCACCACTTTAATCGGAGCATTCTGATCAACAGGGCGCTGAAACCAATTCGCGTCACCAACAGGCGGATCCAAGTGGAACGTCGTCTCGGCGCGCTCGTACCCAGCATGCAAAATCTCAAAGACGTCCCACTCGCCGCACCCCGAAGTCCAGCATGAGCAAGCGCCGTATTGTTGCGTCAGCGGGACGCGGGCGTTCTCCAGCCAGATGGCGGGCATGTCGGCTCCGCCGGTGTGAGGCATGGAGAATTCAAGCAGGAATATGCGGGATGTACCGGGGAATCCCTCTTTTTTGGTCTTGTTAGCGTTACTGACGACGGGGGGCAAAGAGATAGAGATGAAGCAGATGGGATGGAGGGAAGGAAGGAAGGATGTAAAAACGTACTCTTAGCCACGGAACCAGGACGGACATAACCGCAGGAAGCATCGCAGTCCTGGTCCGTCATGACGACAAATTCGCCCGTGATGACCTCGTTGGCGAGAACCTGGGGAGACGCGGCCCCGCCGGTGGCGTGGGGGTTGATAAAGGAAAGGGAAGCGCCAAAGGTTTTGCTGACTACGCCTGAGCCTTCACCGCCGCGGTTGCCGAGGAAGGAAATACCCTTGGTGGTCTGTTGGGCGGCGTTGTAGTAGCCGATGCGAGAGTAGGTGGTTCCGTCCGGGGTGTAGATGCCGAGTTGCTTGAGGTGGATGGGGCCACGGAAGATGAGAGCGACCTGTTTGTTGTCTTTGTGTTAGCTATTGGTTATGCTGGTGTCTGTTCAGAGGCAACATAGGACTTACCGGCTCGTTGAATGGGGTGAGTTCTCCTGAGAAAGTGTGGTTAACTGCGGCGAAACGACACTCGCCGGTCTCGTCGTTCATGTAGGCGACTTGACGGTATTCACCGTCGCGGGCGACGTTCGTGTAGATGACTTGGTCGACGCGGGAACAGTAGTAGTCGCCATCCTCAAAGGTTCTGTTCTGACAAAGGTCGTCGGAGGAGACGAGCTGAAGGGGGTCCTGGGCGTGAGGGTCCGCGTAGGGGGCAGAGTTGCGAAAGGAACGAGCGTGAAGACTGGACGAAGAAGAACCGTCAATGATGGAGATGCTGTTGTTGATAGTATCGAGGCTAGTGGGCATGGCACCTGTAGCTTCCAAAAGGGAAAACAGGGCCACGAAAAGCATGATGACTTTGAAGATGTTGGAAGCCATGGTGAATACCCAAGAGTGCGAGTGAGGATTCCAAGTGTTTCAGTCGTAGGCGGTCGATATCTCGCTGACTGCTCGAGATCAGGGTAACCGATAGTCCAGGGAAGAAGCAACGGAAGAGATTTCCTGGTTCTTATATAAGGGGGTCCTGGGAATTTAGTTCTGACCTGGAGGACTCCAGTGAATCCAACCCTCAAAGATTCACCCGCATAGCCGTTAGAACAGCCAGGCCCCAAACGACCTTCAACGTCTCGGGAACGACTTCAGATGCCAGTCCCACCACCAGTGAAGGGATTCTCAAGAGCCTCAAACCCCACACCTTCGCGTTTTTGAACCTTCCTTCCAAGCCGTCAAGACCGGACGAGCGAGAATCCATCTCCACGCACTATCTGCTGGTCCGTTGACGGCGAAGGGAGTCCAACCCTTCACCACAACCGTCCCATATCCGGGCAGCCACCAAGCATCTCCACCCTCCCTTCTCCAAGCCTTCACTTAGTTCATCCAGCGTTGGGATTTCGATCCTTGGGTGAATTCCCAGGAATATTCACCCAAGCTACAAAAGTAAACCCCTCACAAATCAAGTCCCCACACAGGGAAGTAAGCCACTTTCCATCTTTATGTCCATCTCCATCTCCATCTCCATCTCCATCTCCATCTCCATCTCCATCTCCATCTCCATCTCCATCTCCATCTCCATCTCCATCTCCTTCCAGCCGGTACGCACGCACGCACGTTAACAACCCACTACCATACATATAGACCTACGGAAGCTCGCAAATCGTCCTGTAGAGGTATCTCAGACCACAGATCAGGTTGGTAGAAATAACCATCACGCTGGCAGCATGCCCTGCACATGCAAAACAGAACAGTACCTACCTTAGGTACCTTAGTCAGATCTAAACAACAGACATATTCAAGAAGTAGGCAGAGACATCAAAGGGTTTATATACCCATTCGATGTATGACAGACCTAGGCACGTAGGCGTTCACGGCACAGTCGAAGGTTTGCTCCCCCTTCTCTTCAGTTGCTGGGCCGTTACCCAGGTAGGTACCTAGGTAATGTCTGGCTTTGAGCATCGTGGCGTTCGACCAGGGAAGATACCTGTTGGTAGGAGTCATCAAGAGGAGTCAATGAGTCAGTCAGTCAGCTTGTTTAGGTTGATATGTGCTTGTGTGTGTGTGTGTGTGTGTGTGTGTGCGTGGAATAAATGAGGTGTTTGTGATGCAAGCAATATAAAAGTTGTAGTGAATGGGAACCTCTAGCTGTTGCGACAAACTCGTAGAACTAGGTACTTAGTAAAGATGCTCGATATGGGAACAATACCTAGTTTGGCTCCCTATAGGAGGACTTTCGAAAGTGAATGAAATAATTCCGTGAAATGTTGTTTTGTAGGAGTATTGAGCGTAGTGGGCGTTGAGATATCTTAGAGTGTCCAAGCAGTGTAGACCGTCGCAGGGAGTTCTCATCGTAGTTCTGTTTGCGGGGTTAGTGTTCTTCCATACAGGAAGATTCATGACTATCGCCGACGTGTGAATATCCTTTTCTTGGGGGAAGACGAGGGAAGTGAGTGATGTTGACGATGCCGCCGTACCTGAATACACCTGGAGACATTTGCAACTGAACCAAGTCACCGTATGACAGATAAAGAATGACACAGACTCGCATGAGCAAACAATACCTCTACATAAATACAGATGTCAACAAGATCCAAAATTGGTTGGGTATCTCTGCACTTACAGCACGGCACCTACGCCCTCGCTCTCTTCCCCCTTCCCCTTCCCCTTCCTCTTCCTCCGGCCGCACCCCTCTTCAACTTCGAGCTCGAACCAACAACATCGTCATCATCCTCATCTCCCTCTGGCCCATCATCCTCCTTCTCACCATCCACATCCTCTTGTTCTTCTTCTTCTTCCTCCACAGCAGCAGCCTTCTTCCCCTTCCCCTTCCCCTTCCCCCTCTTCCTCTTCTTATTACCACCCTCCTCTTCCTCCCCATTCAACGGCCCCATCGCCATAACCGGCAACGCCAAACTCAGTCCCCCTCCTCCACTCCCCTTATTATTCCTAGCCTTCAACCTCCCCACCGCCTCCACCATTCTCTTACTTCCCTTGACTTCATTTCTCCTCGGCGCAAATGCCTCCTCTCCTCCACCACCCAAATTCCTCACAGTCCCCGACCCCACCCCGCCCTCAAAAAACCTCGTAATATTACTCTGCGTCCCCTCCCTCTCCCGCTTATTCAAATCCCTAATCACAGGAACCAACACCTCATCCGTCCTCTCCTGACTCCATCCAATCGTCTGCATCAGATACTGTCTGAGCCCCTCGAGGTCCGGGACGCCCCATTGGAATGGCTCCGGGGTCGAATCGACTTCTGGATGGAGATACGCATCAAAGACAGCCGGGTTAGGGAACCCGACGGGCAAAAAAAGTTTCGTAGCTTGGGCTTTTCGGAACTTGCGCCTAAACGGAGTGGAGAGTAACGCAGGGTCTGGTTGAGGGGACGATTGGATTTTGGTCCACCATTCTTTGAAGGTCGTGAGGGACGAGATGGGTGTAGGTTCAGGGGGGAATTCCGAGAGGATTTCCACGGCTGTTACGGGGCCGACGCCCGATAAACCTTCGGTGTAGTCTGACCCTAGGAGTTGGGCGAGGGCAATGAGTTGGTCGCGCGACAGAGAAAGGTCACGCTCAATGTCGGAGGATAAATAGCATTCGACGAATTTGTTCCCGTTGAACATGTTTTTGTAGACGCGGGTGCCGCCGAAGAGAAAAGTGTCCGAGTCGTCGGTGACGATGCCGTCTACGAGACCGAGGCGGACCAGCTCGGCGCATTGGGCTTCGGCTTCCATGGGGGCGGTGATGTAGGGAATGCCGAAGAAGCGGAGGAGGGCTTGGCATTCGGTGATCATGATTTGGGTGACTTCGTCGGCGTCGCGGCGGTCTTTGCGTTGTTGGGTGCGCAGGGCTTTGAGCTCTTGTTCGTAGGCGGCTTGGTTTTCTTGAAAGGTCTTGTGGTTGAGTTGGGTGGCGAAGCGGGCGTGTTCTTCGGCTTCTTGGGCGAGGGAAGCAAGGAGTTCTTGTTCTTCGGGGTCGCTGAAGTCGTCTTCGAATTCGGAAAGGGCGGGGGCGTCTGGGTCGGGGACGATGTCAGTGGTGGTATCGTCTGGAACCGCCGCCAAACCTTCAACTCGTTCCTGTTGGGCAGGTGGAGGAAGGACGTCTTTGAAGAGGTCGGCTTCGATTTGGGCGTCTTCTTCAGCTTGGGTGGCAGGTGGACCGAAGGAAAGAGTCATGGTTTGAGATGGAAGGGTTACGTCTTCAAACACAATGTCGTCACCTTCTTCCTCATTAGGGGAGGGTGATCGACGGCTGGTCTCAACTGGTTCTTGCGAGACTTCGTCGTCCAAAGAAGACAAGCTAGTCCCCGGCATCTGAGTGGGCTTCTTGGGCGATGGAGGAGCATCGAGAATCTCCAGATCACCATCACTTTCATCGGATGACTCAATCATCAGGATTTCATCCTCTCGTTGCTTTCGAATTCTGGCCTGCTCTTCTCGAGCCAAGTCTTCATCCTCCTCAGCCATCTGCCTGTCCTGTTCTCGCTGCTTCCGTACAGTGTCGCGAATGTCTTCGTCGTTATTCGCTAGCCATGGCGGTAATGGACGAGGAGCATCCTTCGGCTCTTTCTCAAAACCGCCAGCATCGTCATCAGACTGAGGTTCCATCTCACCAGTTTCAACTGGCTTGGGCGGTTCAGACACCTTCTCCTTCTGAGGTTGTGCTTTCGGTCGGTTGCCCCCGAGCAGTTGCTTCCAGTTCAGCTTTTCAAATGGAAGTGGACCTTTGAAGGGAGTGTTGGCAGGGGCAGGACGGTTTTCGACCACTGGCCTTGGCGCGGGAACCTTTGCTTGCTTCCTCCTAGCGGCGGCCATGGCTGCTCGGATATCTCCCTCGCTGTCACTGCTGTCGGTACTCTCCCTTCGTCTTGGGACGGCGGCACTCGCCCTGTTGTTGACAATGTGTGCAACCATGCGACCACTGGTGCTAACAATGGGCTTGGGCGCTTCCACCGCTTTCTGCGTCCACTCTGGGGGAGTAACATCTTCAAACTCCATATCCTCATCCTCCTTCTCTTCTGGCTGCATACCAATACCATGCTGATTCTGAAGAGACATGGCAATAGCCTTGTTGAGGTCTTCCTCCTCATCAGCTTCTTGCATCGCATCCTCCTCTCCATAGACGGCATCTTGTCTGTTGTCCACGAACAAAGCCTCGTCATCTTCGTCCTCATCCTCCGCCTCTTCACTCCGTCTCGACTCATAGAACTGCCTCCTCGTGTTCGCAATCCCCCTCGCCCTGTAACCGGCAGCCCTACTCAGCTTGGGCAACCGATTCAACCCTTCGATCGGCACATCCTCAAAGTCGACATCCTCTTCCGAATCCTCCTCTTCCTCTCCCTTGCCCTGAAACTGAAACTCTAGTTCATCCACATCAATCGGATTCGTCATCTGTCCTTTATCCTTCTCCTTACTCACCACACCCAACGCATACCCGCCTTCGGCACCCTCGTTCTTGACCAGGATATATTCCCTATTCTGATCGCCCGCCACCCTTGTGGCATTCACCGCCAGCGTCAGGTCCAGGCCCGTCATGCCCATCTCGTACATCAACCTTTGCGTCAAGTGATTCCTTTCCTTGACTCTCTCAATCTGAAACCGACTGAAATCCATTCGGTTAGGGAACATGACGTCCAGCTGCTCTTTACTCAACCCCATTCTCAATCTGCTCCGCAACCTCGCCGCATTCAAGATGTTGTACCGATCAGCCGGCGGCAAAGACTTGAAGAACTCGCCATCAAAGTCGATCTTGCTGAAATCGTACAAGTTGATATCCTCCCCGTTCTCAAACTGCCTAGCGTACTCTTCCAGCTCTTCGACAGACATGATGCGCGGGTCATCCGGCTTGCCCATGGCATCGATGCCGCCGTCGAGGTCAGGAAGGTGGTAGGCGTCCTGTTTGTGGAAGCGTCGAGACTTTTGGCGTTCTTGTATTGACATGCCTAGTTCGTCGGCGTAGACGACTTTGTCCATGTCCGGCAGGACTTCCTGTTCCTCTTCTTCTGCTGCTGCTGCCGCTGCTGCTGCCGTCTTCTTGCCTTCTCGCGCCTCAGCCCTTTTGCGCCTCCGTTCCTCTTCTTCCTCTGCCATCCGATGCATTTGTACTGCTAGTAGTTTTCCTGCTGTTCGCGTGGCGTCATCGCGTCTACCCTCTCGTCTTCGCCGGCGAGCCTGGATGGTGGCGCGCTTGAGAGCGGGAGCGCCGCCGTCGAAGACGAAGACGGGCTTGATGCCGTACCAGAGTAGTTTGCATATTCGACGGAAGAAGCCGACAACATGACTGTTGCGAAGGGCGTTGCCTTCTTTGTCGCGGACGGCTTTGAGGAATTGGTAGATCCAGATGGAGGCGTCGATGGCGAGGCGTTTGCGGTTGAGGGTGGAGAGGTTGGTTGGGCGGGCACAGGGTTGGAGGACGGTCCAGAGGCCGTTCACACCCATGGTGTGTGTTTACTTGGTGCTGTGACTTGTAATGCTGGTGGTGGTGGTGGTGATGGTGGTGTTGATGATGGGGAGGTCGTCAAGGTCTTCAACGAAGGGCGCTGTTAGTCGGAATAAACACGCTAACGGGGAGTGACGTCAGGGCAGAGAGACAGTCGCAATGACCGAACAGGGTGTGGTTTTTTCACTTTGGTCGTGTGAGAAAACTCATGGTATTAAAAAGGTCAAAGGTAAACAATCACATTTACGTTTACTGTAGTGGTGACGTGAAGAATTCCAGTGATGACAAAGTGCCAAGTTCACGCTCATCATCGAAGCCATGATGTTGACGGCGATCCGGCTGCTGCCTGCCGGCTGGTCCTTATCGCTTATCGTTTTTCTGCTTATGCAATAAACCGGATGCCTGCCCCATGATGCACTTTCCGAGGATAGGAGCTTGGGCCCAGGGTTGGCAGTGGTCAACAACAGCCCATTCCCTCAACCCTGAACATCAACAGAAAGTCAACATCAGAAGCTCAAGACGGCGCGGGCGCTGAACACATCAACGGGCTTTACAACTTGTTCGGGGGTTGCTTGGTTCGATAAAAAGACAATTGGAAAGCTCTATTTAGTAGCAACACCCGCTATTCATTACACACGGCATACGAGCATCATCAGACATCCACCGATTAGGCATCCATCTCTACATCCCAGCTTGCTCACTCATCGAAACCGACCCGGCCTAGCATCTCAACGACAAACTCTCAAAATCACAAACATCCTTCACCATGTCCGAAGACCCAAACACCACCTTCCTCCCCGAAGACAGGGACGACGCCACAGACTGGCTCAACTCCCTCCTCAACAAAAACCTCCGAGTCTCCGTGACTGACGGCCGCATGTTCTGGGGCCAGTTCAAGTGTGTTGATGCAGTAAGCTCCCATCCATCCATTTATCCCTTGTAATCCTTTCTCCCCTTCTTTCCTTTTTTTCATCTCCAACTTGCCCGTCTCCAAATCATATTCACCAAATCACCCACACACATCAACAGGAAAGCAACATAATCCTCCACTCAGCCTACGAATACCGCTTCCCCACCTCTTCCCAAGTGGCCGCCGCCGTCACTTCCTCTTCTGTTACCCCCACCCCCACCGGCACGACAATCACCTCCTCCTCTGCACTCTCTGCACCATCAGACTCAGACCCTTCTCTCTCAGCAACTCCCCAAGAGGCCTACGAAAGCGCCACCTCCTCCTCCTCAGCAGGAAAAGTAAAAGTCGACCTCACCTCCCGCCATTTAGGGTTGGTCGTCATTCCAGGCCAGTACATCACCAAGATCGAGCTAGAGGAGTTTGCAAGTCAGGTTCGGGCGCGGAACAGGGGGTTTGGACAGGGGTTTCATCCGGGGTGGAGAGACGGGGGGATTTCCTAGGCGGATAGTTCCAGAGTGAATCGGGGGAGGGATGAGGATGGGGAGGTGGTGGGGGTTTCGGGGAGTGAGGGTGACGATGATGATGGGGACGATGACGACGACGAGGGTGAAGAGGGTGAGGGCGAACATCATTTTGAGGGATCATTCCCCTTCAGCAATGATCCTTCACGAAATCAAGATCAACAAGGCGTGAGGAACTCAAATAAAGAAGAGGGCCGCTCCAGCTCAGACAAATACAAAGACAACGACAAAGACAAAGACACGAAAAACGATGGTCATCATGGGGAGGAGGAGGATGATGAGGACGAGTGGGTCACTACCTCTACCTCTACCTCCACCTCTACCTCTACCTCTACCTCTACCTCCACCTCTACCTCTACCTCTACCTCTACCTCTACCTCTACCTCTACCTCTACCTCTACCTCTACCTCTACCTCTACCTCTACCTCTACCTCTACCTCTACCTCTACTACCCCCAACACAAACCCCCAAACCGACCCCGACCCCGACCTCAAGCCCGTCAACCCAGCCTACGCACAAAACCCAACACCCACCAACCTACAACACATATGGGGCAAGATGAAGAAGAAAAATTACCAGAAATACCAATATAAAGAAGTGACGGTGCTGCGACAATTGTCGCTTGAGGAAAGGAGGGAGCAGGAGGAGTGGGATAAGAAGAGGAGGGGGGAGTGGGACAAGAAAAGGAGGGGGGAATGATATATGTTTGGGGTTGAGGAGGTGAAGGTTTTACTTTGGGGGGTGGTAAGAAGAGACAAGGAGATAAGTAAGGCTTTTGAGCGGGGGAGGAAATGGTGGTATGATACGGAGATTAGGTAAGAAGGAAGAATAAAAAGCGAAATGGGAATAGGGGGGTCCAGTAAGATGAAGTTGGAGAATAGCTGGAATAGCTGGGAGTGTTTGCAGGGCAGCGAGCGGGTAAGTAGAAGGGAATACGGCGGGATAAAACACGAGGGTGAGAGGGTTACAATAGAGTAGGAGATATGGTATGGCATGCAAAGCGCCTAGCAAAACTCATGTAGCAAGCGAGTAATGACATTGGGAAAAACCATGCATGCGAGCGTAGACGAGCTTCAATCGTAGTATTGTGACGAGCTTCAATCGTAGTATTTTCAGAAACAGCGGCATCACCAAGTGCATGTGCACAGCATCATCACCCAGCACACGATATCATCAAGCAAAATAACCATACTTAACTCTCTTGCTCTCTAACCTGACTACCTCTAGCTCCGATCTCTGGAAAACGATATGTACAATAACAATTGATTACAACGCGCAACCGTATCCATGACTCTTTGTCTCCGTCCTTTTTTTACCGTACGTATTTCTAGGTCTCGATGCAGTGCATCTCTTCAAGACTATTGCACCTCCAACTCCTCTTCGCCTCTAACTAAATTCTTCCTCGTTACCACCAAGCCAAGCCAAGCCCAAGCCCAAGCCAGATAACCAAGTCTCAGCCTGTCTCCGTCTTGAGCCTAAGCTTAGGTAGGTAAGCTTATTATTCTGTAGACTCCTCACTAAGACCCTAGCCTTTCTTCCTCCTCTTCCTCTTCCTCCTCTGTTACCCCCCTCTCACCCCCCTTCTCACCCCCCGTCGAGAACCCCTTCGAATGAAAAGACCCAAAGAAGAAGTGAAGCAGAACCCCAAACACCCAAACATCCATCACGAGTCAAATACCTACTCCTCCTCGTTCCGATATCTCAGCGGTCTCTGTCTCTTCCTGTGACTTGCTCCCTCCATGTCTCCTCCTCCCGTTGACCCTGCTCTACCACTCGCCTTCCTCTTTAGAGATGATGATGATCCTCTGGTGGGGTTTTGGATTTGACCTGGTGCTGCTGCTGCTGATGATGATGCTACCGCTGCTGCTGCTGCTGCTGCTGCTGATGATGATGATCTCGTCTCCTTGGAGGGACCGGACGCTTTGGGTTTGGGATTGGTGTTGGGATCGGGATTGGGATTGGATGGTTTGCGGGTGCTAGTGGTACCAGTGGTGCTCCGGGTGATTTTTCGTTCGGTGCTCCTGGTGCCTGTGGCGGTGGTGCTCTGTCTTGTGATTTTGCTCTTTTGGGACTGCGACTGCGACTGCGACTGGTTCGATCGCTGCCGTAGCACCTTCCCGCCTACCACTGGAGCCCCAGCCATATTGGCAGTTGACTTTGCTGGTGGCGATGCTTGATGCGGACGACGAGGCCGTAATCGCTTGACGGGGGGCTGGTCCTCTTCTTCTTCCTCTTCTTCTTCTTCTTCACTTTCTTCGCTGTTATCATTGTCGTCGCCGTTGTCGTCGCTTTCACCCCCTTCGTTGGCAGAGCCGGATTCAGGGCCAGGGGCATTTGAAGCATCATGACCAGGAACGGCGGCGCCATCCGAGTCGTAGTCGCCGGGTGCCCGGCCTGCATGTCCTTCTTCATCGCGCGGTGTTGGAGGTAAATTCATCCAATTTTCCCAAGCGATTCTATCGGCTTCATCGTCGCTGCTGCTGCCGGTGGTCGTAGTCGTATCGCCATCGACATCGCAAACATAATTATCACACCACTCACATGGAGCCTGCTCGTGGTTGTCCCCATTCGAACCAGGGGCAGGTGGTTCACCACCCCGTGCCCGCCCCTCTTCATCCTCCTCCTCCTCCTCCTCCTCCTCCTCCTCCTCCTCCCCCCCAGAACCAACAGAAGCGACATCCTCCTCCTCCCCATCATCTTCGTCGTTATCAGAAGTGAAAGGCTGGAAGTTGGCCGCAGTATGGTACAGTCCAGTACTACTCTGCATCTGCATCTCCTGTCCCTGCCCCTGCTGAGCTTCTCTTATCGCTCCTGCTGCCGCTGTTCCCGCTGCAGCAGCAGCAGCAGCAGCCTCATCCCTCAACGATTGTTCAGCCCTAAGTTGAGCCTCGGCTGCAGCGTTATGCATAGAGGTATGACGAGCTGCTGTTCCTCTACCACCAGGAGACCTAGTGACGGTGACGCCGAGAGGTTTGATTTTCATTGTTGTTGTTGCTGGGGAGGGAATTGCCTTGGTGGTGGTGGCGCGGGAAGAGCGGGTGGTTCTGGTTCTGTTTGCAGCAGTGGTAGAGGTAGAGGTAGTTTTCTGCTTCTTCTTCTTTGATGACGCATGATTACCCCTGGACTCTGAAGCTGAGAAAAGTTCAGCGTCGGAGCCGGAACCAGAAGAAGAGTGCTCATCCATGGAGTAAATATCTGCCTCGGGAGCTTTGCGTTTCTTGCTTTTGCTTTTACTTTTGCTGGGGGAGACGCCACTGGGGTTAGCGGGTAGAGAACCTGAGTGGGGGTTCGCAAGCTGAGCAGAGCCTGATGAAGATCCAGATCCAGATCCAGATCCAGACCCAAAAGCGATACTACTCTTCAGCCTATCCCAATGACTCCCAGCATGACTCCCAGTCGCGGTGGTCGATTCCGAAGCAGAAGTAGAAGCAGAAACAGAAGCAGACCCACTAGCAGCCTGCTGCCTCCCCGTCTTCCTCGGCTTTCTGCCTGCACCAGGACGGGCGCCGCCTCTATTAGAGCGTTTCTTTTCTTGCCCTCCTTCTTCTTCTTCTTCTTCCTGGTTGCCTTCTGCTTCATCGTCATCGTCACCGTCACCGCCACCATCACCTGGTTGAGACGGTGCGGGAGTAGAATTAGACGTTGACGCGGCGGTGGTATAAGCTGATGCTGATACTGAAGCTGATGTGGCGCGGGAGGTGTTGTTGTTGTTGTTGTTGTTGTTGTTATTTATTGCTGCGCTGGTGGTGGTGGTTGTGGTTGGCGCTGCTGTGGTTCTCAGTTGACGTCTACGACGGGCAGTCACCCTCGAAGGCGAAAGCGGCGCGTCGCTGTCTTCTGACTCCATGTCGTCCATGTCCATGTCCTCATCGCGCTCAGCTTGGCTGTCACTTATTTCCGAGACGGCTCTGGCGCGACGGTTGCGAGTTTGTGGATTAGAGGGGTCGTCAGCATCACCGTCTTCATCAGCCTCTACCTCCGCTTCTGCTTCATCCTCCCCAGCTGATCCCTGATCACCGCCCTCATTCTCCCCCTCCTCAGGACTAGGAGTCTTCTTCTTCCTCCCAGCACCAGCCCTCTTCCCACCGCGCTTTCTCCTCTTCCTGCCCACAGGGAGATAAGAGTCATCGTCTTCATCATACTCGTCATACAAGGGAAGGGGATCCTTAAGCCACGTTTGATCCTCATAATCATCACTGGGGGGAATCTCCATCACAGCCGTCTTACGAGCGCCGCGTGCTCGGCCTTGGGTTTTCGCTTTGCCCTTGGCGGTGGTACTAGCTTTGGTGGTTGCTTTACGCGCCGTCCCTTGAGCGAGACTACTACTGCCTCTCTTACCCTTGGATTTGGTAGCGGTGTCATTTTCACCATCTCCATCCTGATCTTGAAGCAGTTTCTTGGTGAGATTAGGGAAATTATCACCGTAGTTGAAGAAGAGCTCCTCGCCGGCTTTGATGTCCCGAAGCGCGGTGAACTTGATGCGGTACTCATTGTTCACGTAGATGATTTTGGGCGTGATGTTGCAAGCTTTCTTGTCGTTTTCCGAGGCATGGTTGATGTACCGGGAGAGGTTGCCGTACATGGCTGCGTCGACCCAGATGCCTTCATGCTCGAGTAACGTAAACAGGTAAGAGCTGGTGCCCTGGGACCCGAACCCTTCTCCACGACGAGCTTCGCGACGCACACCTTCGTCGTGCGTGATTAGCTCACCGGTGTACTCGATCACGAACTCGTCCTGGGAAATGTCTTCGGCAGTAAAGAGACCGTAGCCGCATCCTTCGAGTTGAGATTTTCCAAGCAAAACAGTTTTGGATGCTCCCCGCTGAAGACTAACATTCTGACAACCCGTCGAATGCAAAGTCTCATCATGGGCATTGTCCGGATCTGCCCTTTCTTTTGCTCCACACCCCTTGCACACCACAGGGTCGCACTCACGATTCAGCATAATGCAGATACACGGTTTTCCCTCCTTCTGTCTTTGAATACAAGTCTTGCCCGTCGAATGACACGCGCAACCGGTGAATTTGAGGGCGCACTCGTCTACCGTGCACTGGCAGAACCGATCACAGAGTAAAGGACGAGGCGAGGCGTTGGCGCAAGGACAGGCCTCGTTTTCTTTGGTGCAGGGACCGTCGTGATGACACGGTTCGGTGATCTCGCGGATGGAGTGCTCGTGCGTCGCGGTTTGGTCTTGCCAGTCACCCATGAGACATTTCTTGCGGCGATCATACCAGGGAAGTGGCTTGACTTTGTTTAGGGGGCCGCCCTTGGGGCCGGTTTTTGGGCGAGGTGGTGAGACTTGCGGGAGGCTGAGGTCGAGCTCTTTGATCTTGCGGTAGACTTCCCAACATTTGCGGCCTAGGATGGAAGCCACCACACATTGAGCCTTGAGGGTCTGACTGTGTCCGACACTGACAAACATGTCCTCCAAAACAGAGATTTCGCTGTTAGCCCACGGGGTGACGGGGGCGGCAGCAGGACCAACGTCGTAGTGCCGGTAGCAGGCGTTGTGACAGGGGAGGTGAAGAGCCTTTTTAGAGGCTGCTGCCACAGCTTCCTCGTCGCCGCCCATCGAGGCGACTTGGTCGGCCCACTTTCTCTTGAGCGCCCGGATGACACCGCCGACACTATCAAGGGAAAATGTCCGGTGGTAGTTGTGGGCGTCAATGTCACCATGCTCACAATCGTGGCTGAAGCAGACATTGCAGCCCAGAACCGCGTAACTTGAAAGCGAGGCCTCGACTTTGGGCAGCAGACCGTTGCTGTCTGATTGATCACGTTGGGGATTGGCCGGAGGGGGTGTCTCTTTTGCACGCTTCTCGTCGACAACGGTCTCACGCTTTTCGAGGAGCAAGACATCCCGAAGGGTGATGGAACGCTCCGGGTCGGTGTTGTTTCCAAACACGTTATTAAATGCCAGGGTAAAGATGCGTGCCGCCTCCACGGCCTTTGGCGACAAAATGGCATCGTCCTTGTACGTATTGAGGAGGACGTCCTTTTGCTGTTGTGTGATGTGTGCTTTGTTTTCTTCCTGGCTCAACATGTAGCGGATCAGCGTCGGTCTGCCACAAACAACATCGAGACCTAGTTGCTTGAGCCAAGGCTCAATGTACATGGAGAGTGTGGCGGTAAATTCATCCCGGACACGCTTATGATTTTTCTGTTGCCTGTTTTCCGTCTTGAATCCAGACTGGGTGTCCAACTTTTCCAATTCATTGAGCCAGTTGATGTAATCTCTCTCGTCCACAGAGTCTGGGTCGACATCCCGGAGATGAGGAACAAATGTGAGCATTGTATTGGGAACCAAGATGTTCTTTTTGATCTCAGTATGGTGAAACCTGTATTTGGGGACGACCTCCTTGTCCGTCTTGATTTTGACGACCGGGCACTTGAAAGCCTTGGTGGGGGCCCTGGGCTTTCCATTGTCACCGTGGTGAAGCTTAATTTTGAACGCCATGGTTTCCACTCCGTCATCCGACGCAGAAGCGGTGTCGGAAGTAGTAGCAGGAGCGCTTAGGGCCGGCATGTCAGCAAAGGCATCAAAGTCGCTTAGATGTTTTGGCTCTGGGGCCATCTGTTCGGCCTCATCAAGTAGATATTCAACATAACGAGCATGGTCTTCGCCTACAGTGGCAATAAAGGACTGGAGCTTGGACTCTATGTCTTGTACTGTCAAATTTGTCAAATTAGGAGCCTCAGGAGGCTGGGTAGCCGGAGCTTCCTGGGAATTGACTTTACTTGAGAGGGAGGCTACCGGGGGTGAAATGAATTCGGAGGTTAACATTTGCGGTTGTGGTTGTGGTTGTGGTTGTGGCTGTGGTCGTGATTGTGGTTGTGGTTGTTGTTGTGGTTGTGGTGGTAATGTCACGGACGCCAACGGTTGTGGCATATCGGGCCCTGCTGGCTGTGACTGAGATATCCTAGCTCCTGATGATTGCGGCTGTGATAACCGAGACGGTGTTGGTTGTGACAGCAGTAACCCAGACCTATGAGGTTGTCCAGCTGGTCTAAATAGTGATTGAGGAGGAGCCTTGGAAACATTATTGGAAGGATAAGGTTGTTGCATTCTCGGTTGAGGGTCAATAACCTGACCAGAAGTTGGCTGAGATGCAGGTCGAAAAAAGGATTTGGATGGAGCGTTGAATATGTTCCTGCCTACATTGGGCGGCGGTATTTTCGTTTCTCTCTGGACATGCCCGGGCGGTGCTTGGTAGCTTGGTTGCCTAGGGGGCTGATGCGGAGGCTTGAATACACTACTGGACACAGGGGGTTGCGGTGGACTAGGGCGCTGCCCCTGACCGGGAGCTGTTTGTAAGGCGGTTCTGAGAGGAGGCTGAGATGAGATGGAAGACGATGGGTTTTGTGATTGTGGTTGGGATTGTGAATACCTCGACTGGCTGTTTTGGAGCTGAATAGGTGCAGCTTTGGGAGCGGTTTGTGAGGGGGGCCTGAATATGCTTCCGACTGTGGACTTTGATGACTGTCCTTGGGAAGCCGATATCATATGTCCTCCTTCTGGGACTCTAGTAGGAGCAGTCGAGCCGGCAGTTTTCCTAGCAGGTCCAAATACGGGCTTGAGTAGAGGAGGGTACGGTCTCTTGGGCTCTTCTTCGTCATGAACTTGAGCTGGAGGTTTTTCGGGAACAGGCTGGGTTGACGTGGGCTTGAACATAGTCTTTATTGTAGGCTTGGGTTGTTGTGTTGAAGGTGGCCTCGTGGTCTCGCGGTCGTTGATGGTCTCTTTACTGCGGCTAGTACCGCTGCTGCTGCTGCTGCTGCTGTCACCACTGTCACTGTCACTGCCACTTCCAGTCCTGGTGTTGTTGGTTTTGGTTCCGGTGCCGCAGTGATTGCTGGTGGAGGTCGTCGTCGTCGTCGTCGTCTTTGCAGGTGATGATGACTTTCTGATGATGACTTGGACTGGCGACGGCTGTCTCGGGATTATGGTCGGCCGTTTCCACAGCAAACCTCTGCCTCTGCCAAGACTAGGATTCAGGTCTTCTCGGTAGTGGATGGAGCCGTTGAAGGTGATGCCCTCTGTTGGAGCGTTTGCTCTGACCACCACGCCATCATCCTCGTCGTCCGAACTGCTGGAGCTGGCATCCTTGGACGATTCATCGGTGAAACGGTCAGCCAATGAGAATGGATCGGGCACTGGCATCGCTTCAGCTTTCCGTCAGATGAAGTCTCTCTTTTGGTGTTTTTGCAGCCCGTACCAACAACGCCCTCCCTCTGATCCCAGTCTGATGAGTTGCCAACCGACCGGGATGCATTCGACCCGAACCATAAAAGACCTTAAGCTGTGAATTTTGGTTTACCCCTCCTCTAAAGACCTGTCGTCGTCCTCGGAATGGTCGATTTTCTCATTTCCAACTCAGATTAGCCGATTGAGTTTTTTCGATGGCATCAGATAATACTTTGGTGGTCGTCAATGGAGCACCTAATTGGTCTGGTTGTCGTCAATAAAGGTGAGGAGGATGAATAAATAAGACGCGCGAGGTTGTTGCGACGCGATTCAAGCCATTCCAACCAGTAGGAAGACTTCCATGAAACCGTAAAGTGGAAGTCAAGGTCAGTGAACCTTGAGGGTTCATTGCAGTGCACGAGCCATGTTGAATTGGTAAACTCCAGGGTTGGGGTTACATGTAGTACTTGTCAGGGTCTATCACTAAAGGTATTCTAAAAACACACGTTCGCATGGCTCTTCCTTTTCCAATTATTTCTAAATGTTCTTTAGACTGGGTTGGTACAATGATATGACTGAAAGGACTTGTTCTTCTCACTTGGACCAAATGACCCAAGTTCATCCATGGTGTTAGACAGTAGGGCTACATGAAATGGCAGAGATGGGTTAAAGGTCTCTTTTAAGTGCCTGTCTAGCTGACTTGGTCTTTGTGCGTCAATCCCAATTCAGCAAGAAGCCATCCACAACCGGGTCGGTGGAAATCAGTGATGACGGCCTTGACTTTTGCTTAGTGAGCTGTCGGTACCTCGGCGGAATATGTGATGGACACCAACGTCATCTTCCGTCTTCGGACTGTGGGCACTAAAACCGACACTATAGGGCGCTAACAACAACAAAGAGGCCGATTCCATTCCAAGACATTCAAGCTTGGCCATCGACATCCGTCATCCAAATCTCTTCAGAGCATATGAAGGCTCCTCTTGTTCAGTTATGGTCTTGTCATGATCCGAAACAGGGAATGGGATGGCCCTACTACACTAAACCATACAGCGATTATCCCGGTGTTAATATGGCAGCTCTGTGCTCCAGGCTGTCGGGATTCGGAAAACAGTCAACATGTCAAAGCTGACCGGGAGTTGTCCACAATCAATCACTATCGGGCAAGATCTGTAGTCTAGTATAAGTGACGGCTTCATCTGAAGATCATGACTAGGTGGACATGCCACACTTGCCCGGAGACTGCGGAGTGAAAATCAACTTAAACCAGATGCAGGTAATTGTTAGGGCAGCTGCACTGTCGATGCGCTGAGATGCACTGTCGATGACGAGTGGGGACGTCCCCTTATGGTGACAACCCCCCTGTTCACTCTCCTCGATAGGGGAAAGTGAGCTTGGCCCTGCCCTTTTGCAGTGTCGTCTTCTGTTAGTGACTAGCAGAGGTTGCACACCGACGTCATCCCCCCCTTGGCCTGGGACTGGATCTGCCGGCACGCGCATGCGACAGACAGACGCTTCTCGAGCCCAGAACTGGAACTGGAACTGGAACTTGTCTTGGTTGTCTTTTCCACGTCTCTTGACTGACATGACTGGACTGATCAAAAAGGCCAGACGAACTCCTCCTCCTGCTCCCAAATCCCTTCATTGGTTTTCCTCTTCTGTTTTATTTTCCACCAATTTCTCTACTCGTCCGCCATTCGGATTCCCACCAACATTGCCCTGACTAGTCTAGGTGCTTGCTTACCGCCCAACTGAATATTCCAACCAAGAGAACAAGGGAAGAAGCCCCCCGACTCACACCGTCAACTGGAACTGTCCGTTCCTACTACTTCAACTTCAACATCACACCACCTTGTGTGATCGACAACTTCAAAACCCTCGACGACAATCGATAAATACTACATAAACCATGCATCGAACCTACTCTATGCGCGCCTCCAGGGCGCCAACCGCCTCCCAGATCCAGAACCCCCCTCCACCGCCATCATCCACAAAGTCGGGACGTCTCTTTGGTCGCGGCGGAATTGGTGAGCTTGTCCCCCCTTCTTCTTTTTCTAAAAAAAAAAGTCGAGCAGCACAGCTCATAGCCTGTGTGAACGTTAACAGGAGGGCTAGGCCATGCTCTACGACGCAACGCCGCCGGCGCCTTTGGGCCCGATCTCGCCAAGAAGCTCTCCCAGCTGGTCAAGATGGAGAAGAACGTGATGCGCAGTCTGGAAATGGTGGCCAAGGAGCGCATGGAGGTCGCCCAACAGTTGTCGCTCTGGGGCGAGGCCTGCGATGAGGACGTGTCCGATGTCACAGACAAGCTGGGCGTGTTGCTCTACGAAATCGGCGAACTCGAGGATCAGTACGTCGATCGCTACGACCAGTACCGCGTCACCATGAAGAGTATTAGGAATATCGAGGCGTCGGTGCAACCCAGCAGAGACAGTAGGTCCACTCTACTACTCCTACTGTCCCAACTCTTGTCGCTCTTCACCACTAACACCCCACGAGGAAAGCAAAAAATTACCGACCAAATCGCCCAGCTCAAGTACAAAGAGCCCAACTCCCCGCGCATCGTCGTTCTCGAACAGGAACTCGTCCGCGCCGAAGCCGAGTCGCTCGTCGCCGAAGCCCAGCTCTCCAACATAACGCGTGAGAAGATCAAGGCCGCCTACACCTACCAATTCGACGCCCTGCGCGAGCACTGCGAAAAAGTCGCCATCATTGCCGGCTACGGCAAGCACCTCTTGGAACTCATCGACGACACCCCCGTCACCCCAGGCGAAACCCGCCCCGCTTACGACGGCTACGAAGCCTCCAAGGCCATCATCCAGGACTGCGAGGACTCCCTTACCAACTGGGTCACGCAAAACGCGGCCGTCTCAGCGAAGCTTTCCACTCGCTCGAGGACGCTAAGCCAGCGCAGGAGGAACAACATCAAGGCCAGGACGGAAGGCGGCGCAGGACAGGGACATGACTTGTCGGGTCAGGACGCCCCGCTTAACGATCGTGACTCGTGGGTGCCGGCGAATCAGCACAAGGAGGTGGCGGACTATGAGGTGTCGGAGGAAGAGGAGGACGACGATGAGGATGAGGAAGATGATATTCATGCATCGGGCAGCCACTCCATGCTGGACGGCGAGAGCGAACAGCATCAGCGCGGGAGGAACACTGAGCCTGTTGCTGCCTAAACAAGGACGGTAATTGTGTACTAGGGGCGCGTGTCTGCGGGCATCCTCACACGAAAGTCGGCAACAGCAGTGAATCCTCAAACACAAACCCAACAGACAGAAAAACTACACGACCTTGGAGCTAGGATGGGATGGGATGGGATGGCAGGATTCCTTAAGCGACACTCTCTATACCTCTACTTTTCTTGGTCTGTCTGAACCTGAGATGGAACGGACAGACTGCGCGCAGGCAGGTTATTAGTCTGCATAATTGGTAATGATAAGGTTTTGGATCGGATGGTACAAATCAAAGTGAGATGATACCTCGGGGGGGAAGCCATGGGAAGGAAGAACGAGATCAAGATTAGTTAATGATTGCGCTATGGTTATGCTTATTCCTAGGCGGTAGCTTTTTTGTGTACCATTATTCCCAGATTCATGATATTGACGTTTTGCTGTGAAACATGGGTGCTTCTCTGGTGTATACCGCCGATTACTCAATTCCTCATAGGATATAATACGCTAGAAGCAACAAACAGCCTCTAAACGACAATGGCCGGTGTCAGAAGACAATGATGATTTGTTCCAAAAAGGTTGTTCTTCCCTAAAATTAGAGGTATGAAAGACACAATCGCCGCATCAGTCTTATTATACAGAGTGTAGATGTTTACTTATCATCCTTCGAAGGGCGCTATATCACGGACTCAAAAAAAGAAGAGATCATGTCTATTGACCGTGAAGAGAAAAGAGCCATTGAAGGTTTCTTGACTGCGAAGCCGTACAATTAGTAAATATTTACATTCTGCATTAACGTGCAACATCTGTTGAACTGATACTTGAGCGAATGAGATCAAACCGTAATGGAAAATAACTGACTGAATTTCAACGAAATCAAAAAGAAGGAGGGAGTCATGACACCTTCAACTGAGAATTGGCCGAAGATGTGGAGGAAAACAACGCAAAAAATGATGATCGCGGCAGGGCTCGAACCTGCGATCCTCTGCGATTACGATGTAAAGCAGATGCCTTAACCACTGGGCCACGCAACCGTTATTGATATTTGTATTTCAACAGCCACCTATAACCATTGAAAGCAAGAATACCTCAGCAAGAATTGCCGGAACCACCTCCCCAGCCGGCATTGGCGCGAACTTTAGCTCTTGGAAACAGCGGGGTCTGTCAACTCGAAGCTCCATGACCATCACGGTTCGCGAAGCTTCATCATTTTGTTTCGCAACATCAACTAACCCACTAACTTTCTAAGGGGAAAACACCATCTCTCACCAATTGTTCACCATGAAGTCCTTCCGCGCCGCCAACGCGCTTCTGCGCACCAACTCTGCTGCCTCGAATGCCATCTCCCGGTTCGTCACCCCACCACCATCATCGTCTCAAACATCTTTGTTTACTTTCCTCTCCCATCCTAAAGCTAACAAACCACCACAGCGCCGCCGCCCCTCTAGTAACCGCCTCCGGCTCTCCCGCCTGCCAATGCCTCCTCACCACCCCCCGCACGACCCTCCCTCAGACTCCCTTGACCGTCCGCCCCTTCTCAACAACCCCCATCCGCCCCGGCAAAAAAGACAAGAAACCCAAGCGCGGCGGCAGCAACGAAGAAGCTGAAGAGCCGCCCGCCCGTGGAGGAAAGAAAGACAAGAAGGGCTCTTCTAAAAACAGCTCCTCCTCCCCCGCAGAAGAGTCATCATCCTCCAGCAACGACCCCAAAGACCCCAACCGCCCCATCCCCTCCCCCGAAACGCCCTACGACCTCTCCGACCTAACCTACGCCTTCGACCGCGCCGACAAGCACTACCTCGACGCCCTCAAGACCTTCCGCTCCGGCTCGCGCTTCTCCGCCGACTCCATCGGTTCCTTACCCATCTTCCCCGACAAGAAAGATACTTCCCTCTCTTACCCCCTGCGCGACCTAGCAACAGTCGCACAAGTCTCGGGCTCAGGCCGCAAATGGTCCATCCTGTGCTTTGACGAGTCGTCTGTAAAACCTATTATGAGCGCGGTACAAAAGTCCCCGGACTTTAACCAGCAGCCGCAAAGAAGCGAAGAGAACCCCTTGGAGCTGACGATTACCGTGGAGCCGGAACGGGCGGAGGATCTCCAAAAGAGAGTGAAGGAGCTGTGTCAGCTGTGGAGAGATAAACTTAGGGCGGAGACCCATAAAAGAGAGGCGGTGCATAAGAAGTGGAAGCAGCAGGAGAAGATATTGGATGATGATGTCAAGGCACTGAAGACCAAGGTGCAGAAGTTGCAGGATGAGAGGATGAAGGCGGTGGCGGCGAGGGAGAAGGAGGTTTGTAATGCGGTGATGGCTAGGAAGTGAGGACTTGGGGGATAAGAGATTCTTGTGGGTGTGTATTATTATCTTTGTGTGTTTGTGTGGTTTCGGACAGTGTCGAGATGGGAGTCGGAATACCATTGCGTTTATACCGTAGTTGCTTGAGACTTTAAGTTCAGAGTTCGTGTGAGCTGTTGTTTAGCTGAATGTGATCGTTCACCTTTGGATTCAAAGGTTGGACTTTATTGTACTTGACTTGCTAACAGACTGTGAAATGTTTATGACTGGGCCCGAGTAACCTATAAAACCTATTACCTGGATTCTGTTAAGTAGAATGGTTGCTTTTTGAGAACAGCTGATAGTCAGGTTTCTGTCAAAGCAACACAGACTACAAGAGCAATATGTCGTTCAAAGTTTTGGGCACAACCAAGGCAGCAAGTTAAAGATACCGCACAAGACTTTCACAAACCCGTGTTTTCCCCAGGCACAAGAAGACAGCCAATACGGGTATTCATAATGTTACAACTGGACCAATTCTACACCTCAGTCCTCTTCTTCTATCTGTTTTTACATCACCCTCCCCTCCCCTTCCCCTTCCACCCCCCCTTCAATTCCTCAACCTACGCCTTCTTCTGAGCCGGAGCCGGAGCCGCCCTCGGCAAACCAGCAGCAAGCAACTGGTTCAACTTCTTCTTGAACTTCTCCGCATCACTCGGCGCATAACTGAACGTTCCGCCGTGATACTTCTCCACCATTTTCACCGTCTCACTCAAGCTCTCCACATACTTGGGTTCCTCATACTTCCCCAACACGCTCGTCTCCAAGATTTTGAGTTTCGTCTTCTTCTCCGGCCCCTCACTAACCGCAAACTTATCCAACGACTCCTTTACCCACTCCTTCTCCTCCACACTGCTGAAAAACACGGGTTTCTTCTCGTGCACGTACCGATGCTTAATAGCCGTCGGATCGCTCGTGACGCCCGACTGGTCGTTGAACGGCAATCCACCGCCCAAGATCCGCATCGTGCGCATTGCTGACTCCACTTTACCCAGCGACGCGTCTGTCGCGAGGGGCGGGCCGTACCCCAGCAGTGTATCGGGCGTGAGCTTGGGGACGTATTCGGTTACTTTGCCTTGTTCCAAGCCGCGGAGGAAGGCTTTCTCTTCTTCGGTGGGCGGGGCGTCGTAGTCGTCGCCGCGGGGACGCTTTTCTCCACTTCCTCGTTTCTTGTCGCCTGCGGGACGGGCGCGCCGGGCACCGAAGGGGGGTCTACGCGCTGCGCCGGCGGGGGTACCAGCACCGGGGGTAGCACCGAAGCGCGGACGGGCGCCGTTAGGACCGGCGGCAAAGCGAGGACGGAGAGCAGCGCCGGGTGCGACGGCGCCGGGGATGTTGCTGCCGCGAGAACCGAGGGTGCCCTTGAGGGAACGGACGTTGATGACTTTGGGAGCGCCGGACGCACCACCACCACCACCGCCGAGGGGAGCGATGGCGTCCTTGGTGGTGCCCTTGCCAGCGATGGGAGCGGCAGCGAGACGGCGGGCGTCACGGGCACCGGCGGGAAGGGTCTTGTGGAAGGAGTTGTCGTTGGTCAAGGACGTGAAGGATCCGCGAAGCTGGGTGAGCTTGCCGACGGCGGCTTCGGACTTTTGGCGGCTGGCGCTAATGGGGCCGGGGGCGCGGGGAGTGACGGCGGCAGCGGGCTTCTTATCGTCTTCGGCGGCGCATCGGGTGGTGGTGGAGGAAAAGGGACGCTGCTGCTGGGCGTTGAGAAGGGTGCTGGCGACACCCCGCCGGCCTAGGGTGGAGGTAACCACCTGACGGTTCATGGTCGGTGGTTTGTTGTTGTGTGGTGTGGTGTGTGATGTTGGTGGTTGGAGACGACACCACACTCGGTCGATCGATCGAGTCGAAGTGAGTGGACGGAGCCGGCTAGGCGGGCGGGTTCGCGGGATTCAGGTTTAAGGTGGACGGACGGTCGCGGTATGGACCTCAAAAATGCCCGTCAAATCGGACGGACGCCCAGGCCCCGCCGGCCCGCACAGCACAAAGTGGAAGCATTGAAGAGTGGGCCGTGCGCAACCCCGGATTTGGAGGAATTTGTTTATCGGGGTTTGATTGGATGGTGGAGCTGAGGATGTGGGGCAGTTCAACGACAGCAATGATGCCCTGAAAGAAAGTTGTCACTTTAGCACTTTGTTAACAGTCTCTCTAACCCCAGGATTTCTAGCTTCGAGTTACGTAAAAGATCTTGATGGAAATATCTTGAGTAAAAATATCCCTGTCTCCTAGAAACTGTAAAGAATTTCTTTTACATTCGAAGATCTTGCTTGCGTGAAATTGGCCTCGCATAGCTGACGCTACTGTTAGTGCTCTGGCGTATAAGTGGACAAAATGCATACACCCAACCAAATCGTTATCATCGTCAGCAGAGACAACAAAACGAAGAACTTCAACTCGGCCTTAAATCATGTACTTTGCAACATTGCTCAATAACAACAATACTCTATATACCCTTTTGTCTAAACCAACTCACACCTTCTAACCACCAAAATCCCAAACCTCCATGCCCACTCCCCCAACCATCACCCTCCCCTCCTTGATCACCTCCACATCCCCAGCATCCGCCACCGAGCTATACTGATTATCCAACAGCGTCACCTTGACCGGCTGCTCACTTCCCTCCTGCCAAACCGCCCGCCAAAGCTTCACTCGCTGGTCATTGCTAACACTAGCCACCTCCACTGCTTCCCCCTCCTCCTCCCTAACGGTACAAATGCCCGTCACACCAGCAGCATGCGCATCCTTGACTCTCGACCTGCTCAACACCTTGTACGTCTTATCATCAGCAGAATACTGCAGGTTCGTAAAGTGGACGGCGTTGTCGTCGCCGCCTGTAATGACCAGCCAGCTCTGGCCTGATGATGACGACGAGAGATCAAGGCCCTTGATACTGCTCTGATGGACCTTGGCGAGGGTAACCATCTGGTACTCTGCCTTTTCCGTCTCGGTCTCGGTAGCGGAACCCAAAGTAGTAGACCAAACAGCAACATGACCGTCCGTCGAAGCAGTCAGGACCTGAATATCCTTGCCAGCGTCAGCGACGCGCAAGTGCCGGATCTGCGTCAGACAAGCACCCGTGTACCGGCCTTGGGCAAGCAACTTCCACTGTTGAGTCTCAGTCGAGTAGAGGTAGCTTTTCAGCGTCGAGTTACTCAATGCCAAGCTGATAAGCATCTTTTCCTCTCCTTGTGATCCATAACGCTGGACATCAAAGTCCACAATCCTTAAATCCCCATCCGCCGACCGATCCGGGTACTTGCTCTCGCAAACCACCGCCAACGTCTCGTACTCCGATTCCAATCTAGTAATCCTCCACACAAAAAACTCTTCATTCCCCGCACTACTCAACAAGTGTGACTCGCCAAACCACTTCATGGCTTGGATACCAGCACTATGCTTCTCCAGGATCGCGAGCGGTTTGAATCCCCTTTCTGTTTTTTCTTTCCCAGCAGGGGCAGATGAGTCCCGATACTGCCACAGACGAATGGTGGTATCCTCCGCAGCAGTAGCTACGTACCGCCCTACTTCCCCTGAGGATGAAGAAACAGAAGCAGCGACGGCCCGTAACTCGCGACCGTGACCGCCCTCTTTCAGGGTGCGTAAAGGAGGGGACGATTGGCTGTAGAACCGCAGAGCAGAGGCTTTGGTGAAGATGAATCGTAATGGGCCGGGAGAGCCACCAGAAGAAGAAGAAGAAGAAGAAGAAGAGGGAAAGACGACGTCAAAGGCCCGGTGACCGCCGCCGCATTCGACAGTGGTGAGCTCTTGACGGGTGGACTCGCTCCAGACGACAAAGTTCTTGCCGCGGAAGCCGTGGATGATCAAATCGAGTCCAGATGAGGAGGGAGTGAAGTGGGCGCCTTCAATCATGCCGAGGGGAGGGGAGATTTCGTGTTGGAGGTGCAGTGTGGCCGACTCAGAGGTAGAGGTGAGGGTGTATATCCTGTATCGACCATCGCGGCAGCCAGTCAGAAAAGAGGTCGAACTACCCGGTAGCGGAACGATGCAGGTCACTGCATCCTTGGTGCGCGCGTCCTTGCGGGAGTAATCGAGGGTGTAAGCGTCAGGTGTCGATTTGTAGACAGCCACAGCACCGACGCGCGAGCCGAGGATCAGTTTGGAACCGCAAAAGGCGGCGGCCGTGGCAATGAAGGGGGATACGTCGTCGCTGGAGAGGTAGATCTTGCGCGGGTCGACGGTGACGGAGGAGGTGGAGGGGTCGAAAGTCATGAGAAGGGCGTGGTCGAGGCCGAGGACGGTGATGATGACTGTCCAGGCACCGGGCTGGTCTTTGTGGAGGGTCTCTTGAGCGCCTTCGATGAGGAGGATATCGGAGATCTTGCCGGGGAAGGTGTGGAGTTCTTTGACTTGGTGGCCGTCCTCGAGGAAGAGGTAGACTTTACCACTGGAACTACCGAGGATAGCGGTCCCCTGAACTGGGCTCTTGACGACGTAGTAGGACTTGAGGTCCGCGAGGACGGTCTCCGAAAGGTGAACATTCTTCCATGTCAGACCCTCGCCTATCGTCCCGTGCAAGAGCCTTCCAGACGACGTCGTAGCGAGAAGCGTATTTTCTGACAGAAACGCATACCGCTGGAACCCGTTCTTGACCGTGTTCTTCTTTTGTCCTTCCACCGGTGCAGTCGAGTCCTCTTCAACCCCCTCAGCAACCCTCATGACATCCTCGACCGTAAGCGTAACGTCAATATCCCTATACGCTTGCTCCCCATTTCCGACCGCCTGATCACCAGCCATCGTAATCTTCCCATCTGCTCCACCCGTTGCAATCAAAGTCGGCAGTCCATCACCCCCCGACACCGCCGTCGACCACATATTCTTGCCATTATGACAACTGACAATACCGCAGTTCTTCAGCATGCCAAACGACCCAGCAATGTCTTGTTCACCACTGTACCCCCTCTCCAGCGCCTCCTTCCACTTTGCCTGATCCAGCGTTAACTCCCACCTCTGTCTCGTCGCATCCTCACCGAACGAGTGGATCTCAATCGGACTTCCATCCCCATGTTGCGTCCTTCCCGTAAACCGCACCTGCCAAATCCTCGATACGTGACCCATAGCCACAGCAAGACATCTCGCCTTGTCGTTTTGGTTTTCGACTTTGACTTCCGAGTTGTTGCTGCCTCCGAACCCTGTTTCTCTCGCTTCTGCCAATGTACATCTCTTTGAGTGATCATTTTCTCCAGAACCATCTGTAAGAATAGAGGTACCCCTGGTCGGCGAATTGGTGATATCCCATATCCGCACCGTCCGATCATCGCTGCAGCTGGCTAGCAGTCTGATCTTTTGACCGCCATTAGAAAGGGAAATCTCCGGCGAGATGGAAACCCCAAAGATGGACCCCTCGTGGCCGGTAAAGACGTAGAGGACTTCAAACTTTTTGCCTCTACCCTCCCCGCTCCCATCGAGAAAATACTTCCAGACAACAATCTCTCCAAACACCGTACCCCCCGCCACCAGAACTGTCTCGTCATCCAACAAACACAGATTCGCCGAATACAAAATCGGTCGTGAAGGCGAGGTGAGCGGGCCAAACGTAACCTCTCCGTCCCCCCCAATCAAAAGCGGAACAACCTCATTATGAGCAGTCACCAACGCCCCTTGCACTCTCCTCTTCCCTCCCTCTTTTCCTTCCGCTCCTCGCTTCCTTTCCGCAGGAAACAAAATCCCATCATATATCCAATCACCTGCCTTCTCCTCTCTCAGTTCCACCCCACTACCCCCATGTCCTTTGACGAGCTGATCCACTGTCCCCTGAGAAATAACCGCCACGGAATTCGCGCCCCAGATCAACACCCGCGGCTCCTCATCCTCATCCTCAACGTCATCCTCATCCTGGCCTGTTGTTGTCCCTGCTGGTTTTGGTGTTGTCGAAGGTGAAGGTGAAGGTGAGACATACAGACCGTGAATAGGCTGCGAGTAAAAGACTTTGATCTGGGAAACGAGGCGGGAGGTGGCGACGTCGTAGATTTTCAGATAGGTATCTTCGGCGGCGAGGAGGAAGATGCGAGAATTGGGAGACTGGTAGAAGGCGAGGGCCGTGATGGGGTTGAGGACAAAGTTATGGCGGAGTTTGGTGGGAAGCCTTGTGTGCGTGAGGGATGCCTGTGGGTGGTGTTAGTACCTAGGTAAGTTGTAACTGTGAAGACTTGAGAGTGAGGTGAGGTCGAGTTTCTTGCACTGAATGATGTGCGAAAAAGGAAAACATTGTTGTTGACGCACGTTTTGAGTCATGTTGGGCTGTGATGATGGACTGAAGCGTCCGCGTGGTCGGCTGCGTTGAAATTGAATCCAAGTAAATTTCAGCTATCCATTCTTGGAGCTTGTGCTGTGCAAGTACCTAGTCGTAGGCACCTTGATGTCCTTTGGTAGGAACGACCAATCCACAACTCAGGTGAGGAAATTCCCAAAGTGAAACGAGTGACTCCATTTTTTTGCTTCTTGGGCGCTTCCAACCCTAACCCTTTACATCCTCCTTTTTTTAAGGTATTCCTGATCTCGTCGTCCTTTCCACTGACCACTCCTAAACAACCTTCTTACATGGGTACTACTGTAAGTTACCAAACTTTTTAGTATTTCCGACCAAGATCACGGAATACTTACCTAGTTTCATTCAACTTTCTCTTCTCCCTTTTTCCTTTTTTTTTCTTCGTAACTGAAGGGTGATTTTTTTCCAGTCTACAGTACACACGTGATTGCGACGATCTCGTCAGACAAGTGCTACCTACCTTATAGACTCTCCAACTTCACTCATACCTTCCACTTATCCTATTCCCCGCTCGTAACATTATTCAAATCTTATGCATCGAAACTAGGTACTATTCTCTTTATTTCAGTTTTCTTTTTAATGTTCCGAAATAAATAAAAATCCCCTTGTCTTACTTATTCTTCCATAGTTCTACCAGCAGCGTAACCCTACCTACTAACAAAACACCACTCCCACTCCCAGTCACGCCGCCGCAGCCACGCACGCTCGAGTTACACCCACCCACCCACTCACCAACTAATACAACAAAGGGAAGGAGGCCTCACCCTCGTGAAATTCCGCTCCTTGAAACAACAGTCTTTCAACATCCAGTATCTCTCCCCCCACATATGCAGTATTTCAACTGGCGGAGCAGATCCTCCGCCAAGACCGTTCATGTCAGGCAAGCCGTGAAGATGTGCATCACCGCTACAGACGAACCGAATGGAGAAAAGGCGGGGACATATGGAGATGCACATTTGGCTCACATGTTCCTTGGATCTAATTCATGCAGGGCGTATGTTGTGTTCAATCGGGCAGGAGAGACAGGTGACGTGGTAGTGGCCCGGCAAGACATGTATGCGTGTGGGGGAGAAAGCTTGAGTTTTAGTTAGGGCACTAAGAAGGTTTGAGGATGGCTCAATCTTCATGTTTCACCGGAAAGGGAAAGGATGCTTGAGGATGGCTCAATCTCCATGTTTCATTAGAAAAGGGAAAGGACGGCTGCATAGTGTTGTACGAGATGTGTCTCCATTTCAGGTTATAGCTCGAAAACTAGTAAATAACTAACGATAAAGGAATAGGTATCATCATCCACAACACGATGGGCATACAAACAATCAACTGTGTCGTATATCCATAGCCACCTTCTTAATCTAGTTTTCCAAACGCCGTTAAATGCACCCATAAAAGATATATCCCCAAGTCATAAAGCGAGCAAAGTAAGAAATACCTTTTGCTCGCTGAGATAGTCATAACAGCACCCAGAAAAGTGTGCTCCTCCATCACCACCCTCCACACCCCTTCATCCTCCACTCCCCTTTAGATCCTCTGGTGGGAATAAGGCTCATAAGCCATATCGCGCTTAGCATACTGCTGTTGCGGCTGGCTAGCATATCCACCACCTCCAAGGAAGCCCTGGCTCGGCTTGCCATTGGCACCATGAGCATGGAACCCACCCACCGGCTGATACGGGCTACCAATAAGCTTCTCATTCTCCATGCCGACACTCCGTCTGCTGCTCCTGCTGGAGTGACCACCATGAGAGCTAGGCGCGCAGCAGCAAATGGTGAACATCCAGAAGAAGGCGGACGCCAGCGCAAAAGCCGCAGCAACCCAAATAGCCACCATGAACCGCTTGTTGAACTCGCCCTCGGCATTGTACTTGCCCGCCACGGTCTCGACGGCGCCGACGACAATGACCGAGATACCGGTGGCCAGGGCGGCGAAACCGCACACGGCTACGGCCGCGATGCCGGCGACCAACCACGTAAGACACGAAACGACGCGCGAGCAGTTGGCAAAGATGCCAAAGACGATTTCGACAACGAGCGCGACGAGGGCGATGATGAAGACGATCTGGGCCCACTTGCTGGCCGTGACGTACGTCTTGAACGCGTCCGTGACCTCCTTGGGCAGGGTAATGTTCTGGCCCGTGAGGGTAAGCAGCGAGTTGATGTCATGTTGCGTGCCGTTCAGCGCGTCCTGGGCCCAGTTGAACTTGGCCTTGGTGCACTCGCGCGTGCCGTTGTGGGTCGTGGTGCAGTAGCCCCAGAGGGAGATGTCGTAGATGTCGTAGAAGCCGAGGAGGGACGCCGTCAGGTTGGTGAGGCCGTCGTTGGAATCATCGCGCTTGGTCAGGCCGTCGATAGTGATCGCCTCGACGTCACGGCCAAAAAGCTGCTGCGCGCCGGCCTTGAGGATGGAGGACTCGTTCAGGTTCAAAAGGTCGCCAGCGTCGGCGAGTGAGATGGAGAAATTGGAAAGGTTGACGTCGAACATGTACATGGACTTGTCGGCGACGCCTGCTAGGCCGCCTACTAGGAGGGCTACTAGCGATGCTACTGTGAGCATGAATGGCAGGGCCACACAGACCACGCGACCGACACCCATCTTGTTGTTATTTTTGTAGTTGTTGTTATCGGCCGTCGACGACTAGGTTACTAGTAGTAAAAGGTACGTAGTGGTGCTCGGATCGTGGGTCGGTTGCGACGTTGTACTCTACAGTATGTATCGATTCAGGTCGTGCGGGGGAGGGAGGGGAAACGCGCTGGGTTAGGTGTCGTGCGTTAGGCTGAGAGTTAGGTTGGCGGGGGTGTTTATCCTCGACTGTATCGCCAAATTGTTGACTTGTTGATGATGTCGACTCGAGTTGAGATATTCGAGGGAATCCGGATTCGTGGGGGTACACAGGAAGATGATGAGAGAAGAGAGAACAGTTCCGAGACACGAGAAGGGCCATCAAAACATACAAATATGCTTTCGGCTTTTTTTTGTTTGTCAGTCGGGTGCTGACAGCAGCAGATGATCACAAAATGCGATGGCTGAGCTGGCTGAGCTGGTTGGCCCGAAAGATGGAAGGATCTTCAGCTGGTGGGCACCAAGCGACTGGGCTGTGTCGGCCAACTGGTGGCGCAGTACTAACAAGTTGAACCTGTACAGTTCCCAGGCCGTGTGAAATTGAAGGGATTTGGCTGTCATCCCCCGCAAACAGCTACCCTGTCAAAATCATAAATCACACTGTGACGGACCTCCACTGGCATTACGAATTTCATGTCTTGGGCAGCCACCGTCCCTGATAGTGATTTACATGGTGTAGTGAACTGACGCGTCCAGTCGTCAACGTGTCGGGTTTTATTACGCGGATTCATGTTTATCAACGTTGCCAATTCATCGCCCTCGAGAGACTGTTCCATTTTAGAGAGGCAAGGGCGGAGCGAGGCGACACTCGTGCTGAGCTATCTATGTCGGGTAGCTTTGTTAGTGCAGTGCCCAGTTATGAAACCTTTTGGCCTTGTTATCAGATTTAGGTACCCCGCCCCTCCACCCGTTTGACCTTGAGATCTTTCCAGATTGTCGGGACGAGACAGAGGACGGGAGGGTTCAACCTCGTATTGCTTGCATTTTCACAAGAAACACCTGTAGTGACAGCCGCAATGATACACCGTGATACCTCGAACGGCCTCCCCAATAGGATAGCAAAGCTGAGAAGCACCTACACATGTCTGGGGAAAACATGTCTACTGACCTCGTAGACCTCACCAACAAAGACATGTGCCAAGCCGTGCCGTTATATCGATATAAACCCCCCCAGACTTTGCACAAGGAATATGACTACAAGGGATTTATTTGGACATACGAAGGAACACAAGAAGCAAACTCGTCACGGCCGATAGGGTGCTTTCCTTTCACCAAAAAAAAGTCAAGGGCCAGTGCTCCTATCCATGTTCGTGATCCTCCAGACGACGTTCAGAGGGCAACAAACCCTTTTCGGCATCAGGGTGGAGTGCTTGCGGCCTTCGGAGGAACGGCAGTCGAATGAGGGACATACATACATACGAATCCCGCTCGCTGGGGATCTTTTTGTCTCAACGTCGAAGCGAGGGGCTGGGCAGGGCTGGTCAACATCTTTTTGATACACTACCTTGATCGTAGGGCTTGGAACCTCACTGACGTTTCAGATTTATCGACCCTCCATCAGGCACCCAAGATGCTGGGTCCCGTACGTAGTCTGCATCAAGTTATCCCCGCCTGTTGTTGGCGTTAACCCCTCCTCATATCCACTCATTATCTTGTCAACATCGTTGTTTGTATTGTACAGGGATGGGCTCCCCATATGCTTCCCATTTTTCCACAACTTATAGAATGGGTTGAAGTTTCTTGTGCTGTATCCTGCATTTCTGACGAGACTAGATAACAACTTAACCATCCATCCTGTTGCGTACTTTCATCCATTCACACGTATTGGGCATGAGCCACCACCACGCCCATGTCAGCCCGCTCACCTACCCCTCTTGTAGTCCAGACACAAAGCCGTGCTCTGGGCATGTCATGGCATGGAAGTCTGGGCTTTTTCCCCCTCCCAAGACTGACCAAGCCTGACCAAGCCCGAGGCCAAGGCGGCCATTGGTTCCCCTCCAAGCCACCATTAAGAAAGCTTACTAGGGCTAAACAGGTGAGGGCCCTCAACTGGGTAATAACCCGACTAAGTGGAAGGCTGAGCTCTGGATGTTGGTCGATATCGTGCCTGTGCCTTGTGTGGCAGCGATGGAAGCTTTCCCTTGTGGTGGTTGAGACCTAGACTAGAGGTAGGTTGGGGGGCGCAGCAGCACTATATTTAGAGCTGGTGCTATGCCGTAAGGTGTACGTATTTTACCGGCCGAGGCCCCACCATCTGACGCGGCCGGGCGGGAAAAGAGTGGGGCTCCTTCTTCACTGCCGCCCGCCCACCCGTTTACCCGTTCAAAAATTCGCTTTGGTTTTCTGGATTTCCAATGTTTCCAAACTTTCAACTTCGCCCGCCTTGGATCGTCTGCCAACCAACCTAACCTTAAGTAACCCGTGTCGATGGCACCGCAAATCTCAATCCACAGTATCGGATTCAGATCGTCGTCCCCTGTTTATCGGCGTATTGGCCAAGGTGGAGGTGGAACATGGGAAACCTCGGCGCGGTCAACACCTCGCCGAGTCCCACTTGTATGTAATCGCCGTTCCGTGTCGGCTTCCGGGATGTCACTTGGACGCCGATTAAGTCCGTCTCCGTCTCTTCCGTGTCCCGGCTGTAATCTCCGACGGCATAGCGCAGGTGTAGTCCGAAGGAGTCACTCACCCATGCCACTTCTCCCTTCCTCCCCTTTCCCAAACCTGAGTGAGACGCTCCGCAGTCGGACGTGTCAAACAAACATATCAGAACTGACCGTCAACTTCAAAACACATGTCAGTCTGTTTACTCACGGGATATCCTTTATCATGCATGTCTGACTCCCGCCCTTTCCGGCATCGCCGTTTCTTATCTCTTTGTTTGCGTAAAAAACCTTCTCTTGTCGACTTGTACCCAACGCGCCAGCCAGCCTCCACAAAAGAAGCCATCATCATTCGATACTGCATGGGCATCAACCTGAGGAGCCACGTTACGGACTGCTCTGGCCCGTCAACTAAGGCAGCACGTACAGCAGAAGCATCCCCCACCGCCAGTGAGACTCCTCAAATTTGGATCCGCGCGCCGGCCGCTCGGGTACCGAGAAATAAATTAACCTTCACCGAACGGCGGAGATGAAAAAATAAGAATGAACTGAAAACATACGCGTTTCGAAAAATCGTTGCACCGATACACTACATACACTACATTGGATACCTACCCACCACGTCGCACACTCACACACACACCCATGTCCACTCAAAGTAAACACGTTTTTTTTCCTCTCACTGCCCTGCCCTGCCCTGGCCTCACCTCACCCAACCTTTGCCCCAAATAGGAAAACGCGTGGAAAACCTTGACATGCCGAGTGACCACGTCTTTTTCACCTTCCTCGCTTCCTTCGAACCTACCTATCTCCATCTCCATCCCCATCCCCATCCGCCATCCACCATCACGAACAATTTAGAGAAGCTAAGTAGAATGGCCGGAGAGCCCTGGTCGCTTTTACACCGCCAAGGTGCATGTCATGCACTCACTCGGTCATGTGGACTGCCAGGAACTTTATTTCAACCCAGGGAGGAAATATTCCAACAAAGTCGACAGATAACTCTCTCCGTCGCAAGCGGGCAGACAGTGTGATGTGATTGCGGACGCGGCGACGGTCCTTGTCTGTCTTGTGTGTCTTTCGCTTCTCTCTCTCTCTCTCTCTCTCTCTCGAGAAAGAGAGTCGGGAACCTAGTAATCCCTCTCTCCCCCTGTTCCTGTTCCTGTTCCTGGTCCTGTTCTTTTCTGTTTTTTTTCCACTTTGGAATTTGTGACCCTACCTAGAGGTAGAACTCCACCGTTGGGTAGTGTAGTGTAGTTGGTTGAAGTGACCGATGACATGGTGGTGGATGGAAGCGAAAGAAACAAAAATGATGGGCTGGAACGTTGGGTCCCAAGGTTTTGATTGAAATCAGATGCCACAGTTGCATCGCAGAGCTCCAGCACGCAGCCAGCCAGCCCGTAGCGGCAGCGGCAGCGGCAGCGGCACCCGTTCCGCTACAGTACAGTATCACATTCACAGAAAGGCACAATGACCCAAGTGAGACAAGGGAAGTTCAGAAGAAGGATGGGATGGGGAGGGAACGACGGGACGGAATCTGAAAATCACGCGACCCTTTTCTTGACCTCGGGCAAGCAAATCGGCCTCACCCGCGCGATCAGGAACGGGGATGGCAGCAGCCAGCGGTTGTTGTATGTAATATGTAATGTTCTTTCGTCTTGTCTTGAAGAAGGTTGGATGGACGAACTGTGAAGTTGTCGATCCCCCATGTTCATCCATGGAAGCGACTACAGATCATCTTCCCTTTCCCTGGACATGTGCATATGCTTGATGCCGGATTCCCCCCCCCCCCCCATTCTTTTGATACTTCTCGTGTTTCCCCGCGGAAAACCATTGATACATGCACCAAAGAACTGAATCTCGTGAGCATCGATGTGCATGTTGTCACCCAACCACTGAACAATGTATGTACAGGATATGATATTCCAGACTTATTAATCCTGATGGGAAAACAAAAAAAAAATGGACTAGCCTCCCCTGACATTCCCCGTCTAGGCAAGTTCTTGGAAGCATTCGCCAGTCCACACTCATCAACATTGGCAAATTAAGTATTGCAACCCTCTTTCATCCATACCAGGTATTCCATATCACATGCATGAATCAAGAGTCCGCATATTTTTACATGTTTTGCATTTGCGACGACGACGACGACGACGACGACGACGACGATGATGATGATTTGACCATTACCAGAGCCCAACCATTACCAGGGGCCCCGCCGTTAGGCACCGCGAATGTGCTAACCGGCGAGCATGGCCCGGTATCCCCGGCGGCCCGGCCCCTACACTACCTACCTACTCGACTGTTGTATCAACGTGGAACAAAACAAAAAAGAAATGATATTCTGACAGCCCTTGGTTAGGTGGACTACTTACTAGTGTTCGTCTAGGTCCCAGATCAGGTCTGTTGGTGATTTAAATTTCCATTTTAGATGAGCGCTTGAAAGATGAAAGAAATGAAAACCTGGGTACAGTATCAAAAAATACGCGAGCAGCTGAGGTATCTAAGAAACAAAACATACCTGCTTTAGGGAAAATGCGAAAGAAGGAAACAAAGAAACATGTGTAATGGTTGGGTTCACGTCAACGAGATATCATAACGAGAGAAACGAAGAAAAGAAAAAGACGACGACTCCTCGTTTCAGCTGTATCCGTGCACGACTGGCACAGACAGAGAGCCTCAAGGGACTCGTTGTTTGTTTTTGTTGCGTTTTGTCTTGCTTTACCTATGCTTTCGAAGGCTTTGTTCGAATCACCCGCCTTGTATCAGATCTGGAGAACGTCCCTCGTATCTGTCGATTCTGTCTCCCCGGAACTGTGAAACTCCAACCTGGAACTGGAAACATTCAAACATCCGTCGTTCATAGATCTTCATACAACGACGACGGAACAGGAGTGAAACGCGCACTTCCACTTTCAGGCTGTTAACATTCCAAAAGAAACGCCCCACTTCTTTCCAACCACGCAGCATCCACCGTTGGGCTCCCCGGGCTCCCTAGCTCCTCCTCCAAAATGGAAGGCAGTGAGTCTCGCACATTGACTTCCAGCCGTGACCGGGCACCGGGCGCTGCGACAGGGCACTGGGGCTGCAGGCATTGTCGCTCGCTGCCGTGCACTGCACTCCGCATTCACCTCTGCAATGAACTGAAGCAAAACCAAGCACGTGCTCTTTGTCCTTCCCGTCTTGAGCCTCTTCTACATTACTACCTAGGTAGGTAGGTCGGGCATGTCAACCTACGCGCTCTACCTATCACGTCTTGGATCCTTACCTCTAGGCAGCTATCCCAAAATGATTAATTGTGGACATTGGATTTGAGCTCTGGTTGAAAACATTTGTGGATAGAGAGGTAGGTAAGCTGTCGTTTCCTCTCGAGAGTCTAGGCCATCCGACGGACTTTTGTTGTGCACCGCAGGCAGGCAGTCATTGTTCCTGTCAGCTAGCTAGGTACCTGCCAGCGGGGCACACCCGCTGTGACTGCAACTCTGCTGCGGGCGTACCTGACAGAGGGGGACAACGTGACAACCCTTTCATGAACCTTTTTCCCTTTCCACTTTGGGATATCACTTCATACTGAGAAGTGGTAAGTAACGTAACGAACCTTTTCTGGAAAGGTTATGCCATTGTAGCAAGCCGGAGTACCCAGATCATAACTTCAAGTGCCCTTCGGCGAGACCTAACCAAATCCCTTTCCGTTTCAGTTATGCTCTTTCTTTTCAATTGACCTTATGACCCAAGGTATATCCGGTCCCGAATGAGACATCTCTAAACAAGCCCGCCTCGAGGTCACTTCCATGTCCCTGATGCCCTGCGCGTGTAGTGCTGTAATATACGCCCGTATTACAATCAATACATTACACGTCCAGCGCTGGCCAGCATCTCCCGCTGATCCTCGTTCTCCGCCGACCGCTGACCCGCCGACCCGCCGACCCGCTATCGTCATACAGTCTTTTTCATGAGTCTTCCCACTCTTCCACTCACTCACCCTTTCCACATCTGTCTGCTCTTCCCGTCTGCACTTCCTCGCATTCCAAACATTATCGGGGATTTGGACGCCGACAGAGGAAGAAAAAAAAAAAAAAAGAAGGACATCCAATCATCCTTCCGAGTCTGTCGTGCAGGTTTCTGACCCTACATCTACCTACCTACCTGTAGAGGTACCTATCTATCTGTTCCGGGTCAGACCCTTAATCGGTCATCATCTCATCATCATCATCGTCGCTGTCGTCGTCGTCGCCGCCGCCGCCGTCGCGTCTTTACCTTTTACTACTCTAGTCTAGGAAATTTGGAACTAAAAAAAGGAACACGTTGCGAGACACCACTATCGTCGCTGGTCTCCCTTCCGCTTTCTTTCCCACTACTACCAGTACTAGGTTGTCCATCTCCTCGGGCAGACTCCTCCTCTCCAACGGGCAGTCTAGGTTCGCCCCCAGACGGACAGATCCAGCGAATCCAGGGCCCCAGGCACACCGTCGACTATAATTCGCCATTCGCCTGCATCCGCTGCCAGAGTCGAGCCAGGCTGTGTGCCAACTCGATCCCACTTTGGTCGATTCAGCACTCCAACCCCCGACCACACACACACTCACACAACACCCACACAAACCACACGAAACAACCACACGACGCAACGCACCCACGAACGCCATCGCGCTGCACACTTTCCTACTAGCAAGACTCGGTCTCAATTCCGACTTCCCCCTCGCCAAGTTCTTTCCCAAAAACAACAACAACGGTTAATCAACGACGATAGCGCGACCTCCTCCTCTCCAGTCCACCATTCGATCCTGATCCTCCATCTGCCAATCCTTTCCGACTTTGGCAGTTTCTCAGACTGGACAAGGTCTCCGGGTCCGTCTGTTGCTGGGCCTTGACTTCTGTCCTTCGCAAGTACGTTTAACCCAAACCAACCTAACCTAAACAAAAAAAAAGTCCCCTTTCCCTTCCTTCCCTTTCATCCATCCCACCCCCGCATTTATTGTTTCCCCTCTTCTTCCTAATCATCACTCCATCATTTTCATTTTTCTTCTTCCATCGCCGCGCCCTCGTTTCCGTTACCTCACCTGCGTCCACGCCGCCCACCTACGCAACACTCTCGCTTTTGCTTGTATGACATCAACGCCTTCCTGTTAATATGCAACGCTGACCGTCTAACCCTATCATCGCTTCCAGACCTTCCGACTCTTCCGCTCCCTCCTCCGTATCCTATTCCCATTGCGGACGACCCCCGCGATACATCCTAACGCCGAGGCCGTTCGCAACCTGGGGCGACTCGTTGTGGCTCGCCAGCCAAAATCACGTCTCAACGCTTACCACGTCCGTTCCGAGTCCCGCTAGTGTCAACAAAAACGGAGAAATCATCAGGACGCTCTTCTTCCGCCGCCGCCCATCTGCTTTCCTGTCTCGATAGACTCTATCACCCTCCCTAGTACTCTGGGGCGCCCACGAAAACAACTCCATCGATTCTAGACGGGTGCAGCGGTAGGCTGTGTGGGCATTCAAAGGCGACTCTGCCGGAACCACAAACCTGACACGCGCACACCGTCCAGCCCCTATACTTTCTCCTTTCCAGAGCTAACACCACGTTCTGACACTGAGAAATCATGGGCAACTCATCCTCCAAAGATGCGGGGGCATCTTCCAAGAACCGAGGCGATGACGACCTCAAGTCCTACCCATCCTTTAGCAAATCCGACACCAAGGACTCCTCGCGCTCTTTTCGTGGCCTCCGCTCCAAAATCCCCGGCGGAAGCAAGACAGACAGTCCCCGGAACTCAACCATCCTCTCCAGCGAGGAAGTCGCTGAGAAAATGAACGCATTAAGTGGAAAGAATGGCAGGCCGTCGGTGCATACTCGGCCAAGTCGCAGAGACATGTCGCCATCGCCCGCCTCTCCCTCGACATCTTCTCCCTCGTCACCTTCGCTCGATACCGCAACGCTAGCGTCTCCGACCGGCGAACCCCTACCTCCTCCGTCGCCGGTTCACAACGCTACAGGCGGCCACCACGATGTCCGCGCGGCTCAGGAAAGTGGAGAAGTTGACCACATTTCCGACCAACCACCCTCTGGAGGTGGCGGAGCCAACTCCAACCAACAGCCTGGCCAGTCTATCCTCGTGAAGCGCGAGAACACCATCAACCCCGTCTACGATACCCCCAACCAGGATCCCCAGAATGAGCAAGCAGTTTCGGGTGTTGCCATGAGCGACATCAAGGATATCGATCTCGATGATTTTATTAAGCGACTGTTGGATGCCGCCTATGCTGGAAAGGTCACCAAGAGCGTCTGCCTCAAGAATGCCGAGATTGTGGCCATTTGCCACCGCGCCCGGGAGTTGTTCCTTTCTCAGCCGGCCCTTCTGGAACTGGATGCGCCCGTCAAAATTGTCGGCGATGTTCACGGCCAGTACACTGACCTCATTCGCATGTTTGAAATGTGCGGCTTCCCTCCAAACTCCAACTACTTGTTCCTCGGCGATTACGTCGATCGCGGAAAGCAGTCGCTCGAGACCATCCTGCTCCTGATGTGCTACAAGCTCAAGTACCCCGAGAACTTTTTCTTGCTCCGCGGCAACCACGAATGCGCCAACGTTACCCGGGTTTACGGTTTCTACGATGAGTGCAAGCGCAGGTGCAATGTCAAGATCTGGAAGACTTTTGTCGACACCTTCAACTGCCTCCCTATTGCTGCTATCGTTGCTGGTAAGATCTTCTGCGTTCACGGCGGTCTTTCGCCCGCTCTTGGCCACATGGACGATATCCGCAACATTGCGCGCCCCACCGACGTTCCCGACTACGGACTGCTCAACGATCTCCTCTGGTCTGATCCAGCCGACATGGATCAGGACTGGGAGGCGAACGAACGAGGTGTCAGTTACTGTTTCGGGAAGAAGGTTATCTCGGACTTCCTCGCCACTCATGACTTTGATCTGGTTTGCCGTGCGCACATGGTTGTTGAGGACGGTTATGAGTTTTACACTGATCGCATTCTTGTTACTATTTTCAGTGCTCCTAACGTAAGTTGTGTCACTCTCGGATCCGATGTAACATTTTACTGACTTGGTAACAGTACTGCGGCGAGTTTGATAACTGGGGAGCTGTCATGGCTGTTTCTACCGAGCTTCTCTGCAGCTTCGAACTGCTTAAGCCACTTGACTCCGCTGCTCTTAAGACGCACATCAAGAAGGGTAGACACCGTCGTAACAACATGCTCAACAGTCCTGTAAGTTTACCCAACTGTTTGGTCTCGTTGGTTGCTTGTACTGATAGTTTCGTAGCCCGCCCACTTCAACCCCCAGAGTGTCTGAGCCATACTCGCACTGCTTCTGCACGCTAGCCAAAGCCATGTGCCGCTCAGCTGTGCAGAAGTTTTTTTTTTCCTTTCCCTCACCGGTCGACGGTTTCTCACAAGATTGCATACCGATCGGACGGAATTCCGATGCGGGTTCATCTGCTGTCGAGCAAATAAGCATTTGCCAAGTCTTGGGCGACGGTTGCACAACGCACAAATACGCATAACAAAGTCGCTAAATCGCCGCGGCCGCTCAAAAAAGAGACGTACGGGGAACACTCTGCAATACATAGTCGTGTCGAGCACCGTCACACAAGACGGTTCTTTTTCTTGCGGGGTACATGGGGAGAAGCCGGGACAGCCAGCCAACTGGGCTGTGAGACGACGACGTGGACCCGCACCCCGAAAGGGTTCCCAACTGGAGTTATGCATAACGAACTAGGCGATATATCTCTGCTCATATTCTGTCCACAAACGCGAATATCTCTGCTCCGTTATACTACTACTTGCGTTTTGTTTGAGAAAGCCATCGCGAAACAAGATCCAACACCGAGCCAGGCTATTACAGTCTTGCCCAGAGTCTGCACCGTCAAAGAGAAGATGGGAAAAGCCGCAATGGGGGGTGTCACGCTGTGCTGATATGTTGTTGGTCTCCGCTCTGGGGTGATAGCCGGGCAGGCAACACACGAAATCTGCCCCGTATTACCCTTTGTCAGGGAAGGAGCAGGGCTAGCTAGGTTCGCGGTGTTGGAAAAGTCCCAGGCTCGCTGTGCCGGTTTTGTACGATGGAAATTCTCGTTTCTGGCTTCATTGCTTGACTTGCGTTTCGTTTCTCTCATGTCGATTTTATTCCGTCGGTGCAGGAGTTCATTGTCATTTTTGTTTCGCGTATCTCCCCTCGTTTTCGTATTATTTTTGGTTTTTGTTTTACTGTTAACTTTGATGGGTGTTGATGAGCTTTTCATTCGGCCCATGGATGGACAGGGATGGGATGAAAGGACGACAAGTCAGATTTTCCCAATGTGGGAGTTAAAGTTGTGGAGGAATCCGTGGATACGACTGACTGACTGACTGGGTCGGCACTTTGTATTACTGTATGTGTATGGTTGATGGACTCGGAATCATCATGAAGGAGGTAGTACCTGACATGGTAGTAGTGTCGAGTTGTGGAGACGGAGAGGGCGCTGCGATGCGATGCGATGCTATGCGACGCGATGTTGATGCGGTGTTATATCGGATTGCGATCGATGTTTGAGATGCAGAGTACTGTCTATGTAGTAGCGAGTAAGAAGAGATCCAAAACATGAAAGGGAATTCCCCACTCAATTTTATAGCGGTTGACGTCACGGTAGAATTCAGTTGCTTGGTGAAGATGTTTTGTTTTTGGTGTTTGTGATATGCGGAATGGCGTTGAATGAACTGATAAGATGTAGAAGCAGAGCAGATTGATCATGGGTACATAGTGTACAGATATTGAGAACCAATACATGAGTCCTACAAGGTCCGCTGGCTCAATGGCAGAGCGTCTGACTACGAATCAGGAGGTTCCAGGTTCGACCCCTGGGTGGATCGTTTTTTTTTTTCCACATTTTCACTTTTCCATCTTTCCTTTTCGTTCCCTGTTTATTCGCCTTATTTTTCTTTTTTTCTGTTCTTTTTTTTTTTCCCTCTCGACTCAAAGACGGCGTAAATGTGCATGGCAAGTGTAAATACAGTTTGCACGAGATGGAGCGGGTAGTTGTCGAGTCACAGAAGTGATCTTACCAAGGTTATCTCGGACTTTGTCTCTGAGTCTTTAAGCGAGAGTTGTGTGTAGAGCTGGCATGCAGACTGGCATGTAGACTGGCTGGCAAACTGGTAGTAGTTGTATTTCTCGTTGGGTGGGTTATTCTTATTCGTAAGTAGTATTGTGTTGTGTTGTGTTGTGAATTGGTATATGTACCCTGCCCATGGAGAGGTTGCCTCATAGCTTCATGGCTTCATCATACTCAAAGTCTTGTAGTTGGAGTCTCGTACCAGCCGGAAGGAAGCATTGAAACATTTGGGCCACTCGGACCAGGCAGTCAGCTGTTTATGTGTATGTGCTCCCGAATTCCCAAATCTCAGAGCTACGATGCAAATGGAGAAGAGAAAAGAGTCTCGGAGTGGTCTCACGGTAGGTACCTGTAACGTTTTAGACATAAGCAGGATACATAAGCAAATTGTCTATTAGTATGAAGTTGCTGTCTGAAGCATGTCTATCGGTAGGTATATGTGCGGTGGAATGAATGGTGTTTCTCAGCCCTTGTATAAAATGGATATAGCGGTTACGAAGACTATCGGAGTCTGCACAATATACCTAGGTACCTACCTCTGTCTACCTGGAAGAGAACCCGCAAATGCAAGGTACCTACCTAACAGGCAAGATGAACAGGAACAATCGAAAGGAGTAATTTGCCAAAATACAGTGATTGTATCCTCGGCTACCCACCTTCCTTCTCGCTTCGTATCGATTTCCTTCAAGTCCCATGTCGGTGGGAGTAAGCTCCAGTCATGTCCCTGCTGACGAGTGCAGTTACCCCCAATGAACGAGAGGGAAGCCGAGTTCAGAACGGTGACATCGCGAGAGACTACCTAGAAACGTAGTCTACCTAGGCGGAGACCTACCTCTTGCAAGCTGTCTTGATGATATCATGTTTGTTAAACGGAAAACCCCCTGATGAGCTGGTTAACTACCTAGGTACCTACCTAGCCAACCATGGACGCACGCATCCGGGCGTTACGATATGGTTGACATAGGTAGTCCGTTCTTTGTGGATGACCAGATGAGAAGTGGAAAGTAAAATTGAGCAGCGATTGATAGGAACGGTCATAACGATTGTAGAGAAGTGGAAATTGTCACCTACCAGGCATGGTCAAGCGAGGTGTCAGGTTTCACCCAGCTATGTCAGGGTCGGCTTGCTGTTTTGGGGATAACCGAGGGCTCGGTTGGGAGTCTACTTGTCCAGAACCACTTGATGAGACAGAGTAGTGAGAGGTGAAGTAGGTGAAATGGGTGAGTAAAGTCGTCCTTGGCGTCTTGGAGTGTATGGTTCCCCAGATAGAGAACCCGCTATTGTCTCGCAATCCTCCGAGATCCAACAGTCTGGTACAACAAGTCTCTGCGAAGCAAGACTGCGTGATACACAATATATACAAACAGGTTGGTGAGCTATCGAGATAGCACGCTATCTCGGAGAGTGCATGATATACCAGACTAGATACCTATGGAGCACAGCTCAAACCCAAAGAGCAAGATTCATGTTGTTGGCATGCTTGACGAGCACAGTCTTCTTGACTAAATCTGATTCAGAAACATTGGAGACATGCTTAATGCGTTTTCTCTTTGGTTCGTCCTGTGAGAATGCGTGTGTCCTTTATCGGTACTTGATCGGCCGCTCGGCACAAATTGCCGAAAGTGGGCTCTCTGAAGCGGTACGACATTTGTCGGAGGCGGACCGCTCGCTTATCGGGTCTCTTTTCCGACTTCCAAGTTCCAATAAGCGCCTCTCGGGGAAGCTCCTGAGGTAGCAATGCGAGGAACAACGGGTAGTGGCCGCTTCAGTTGGCCTCGCCAAATATCTCGATTCTTTTGAAATCGAATGGTGTAGAGTTGGCAGTTCTGTGGGGGGCGTTCGGTTACAGCCTTCGAGAAAGGGCGCGGGGAAGATGAGACGCGGATGATGGTGTAAGCCATGTGTTTCTTCAAGTGTACGACTGCATCGCAAGTTTCGATAAGACCCAATGAAAAATAAAGTATTCCTAATGAAGAAGAAATCATTGGAGAACCGATCGGTCGTTTCTTCTCTAAGAGAATGTCCGCGTGACTTGGGAATCGTGTGATATACAGTTTAACCGCAGTATCATGAGGATAAAGAGGCTAAATGCAGTTGCAGGAACCTGAGAGACACTGAAAAGAGCCGCGAAGTCGGAGAACAGAGGAGTTGAGTTTGTCGATCAAAAGAGGGTCGACGCTTGAGATAGGATGGATGGGCATCAAGCTGATAGTCCAAAAGTAAGGTAACAATAAAATGACAGGGGATATTGGGCGAGACCTTTGGGATGTCAATCCGTCTTCTCTTGTGCTCTATGAGACGACCTGTAGATTAACGTTAGCTATTATGAGTTTGTTTCGGAGTTGGGTTTCTGTGAGCCGCAATTGTTAGGGATCGTAGTAAATATCAGGAGAAGCCACAACATAGCGGTATTATTGCAAAGAAAGGAGTCTGAGTATGACCATACATGGATGTTTTAAACTTACTAACATGAGACAAAGGGCTTGGGCCATGCATGTGTCAAGTGGTTGATACTCCCCGAACCATGACAGACCTGGCCTCGGCCACTGAAACGAGGTGGGACTGAGTAAGTAAACCCCTGGGTGGGAAAGGCATCTCGGTACCACACTGCCGACGGAAGAAGCTTCCGAATGGCCGTTGTGTATGATATGCCTGTCTATAGTAGATGTGAGGTAAAACCTTGCTGCCAAGACTGATGTCAGCATAGTCATGATCCTTGACGAACCTCGGCAGATGTTTAAACATGAAGAAAACGAAGTGGCCACTGAGTAAAAGAGTGTTTCGAATCTCCCGGACCGGTCGATAACCCCCACGTTCCTCTAGATACCATCGTCATTAGTGTGCGTAAATAGTGACAGGCGGAAACTTGGGCCTGGTGGAGAGCGTGCAAGAGGGTGGATGGCATTTCACGTAGCGAATCCGACTCTGAAAGCTTACCTTGCAGTAGTGAAGCATTTGGTGGGGTTGGTTGGTGGAGTTATAGCGTCCGTTCGGTTTGGAGAAGGAGGAGAACCAAAAGTGAGGCTATCGTCGAGGACTCTCAACGAGGTGGCATTTCCATGAGTAAGTACCAGTCATACCCTAGCCAGGGCCATGCTTGTTGGGTTCCCGGATGCCGAGCTTTTATACACATGGGTTCAGCCATTAGAAAGAGAATGAATGCAGAGGATGTATGATTCCGAGTTCGATTTGGAAATCAGTTCGGCGTGAGAGGGGGAGGAGTGTAAGTGGAGGGTGTACTGCCTTGGCTTAAAGGATTTCGGCACCAGAGAAACCAAATGTCTGGATACGCGTAAGAAACACATTGACGCCAGTCTTGGAGACTGTCTAGAGGCCAAGACTTTAAGCGCGCCTTGAAGCGATGGGAAGGAGTAACGTAACGACTTGTCCACGATGAGCAGATGACCTCTCTCGACGGTCAACAGTGACGCATACCGAGGAGTCCGTGGACCTTGATTGTATAACACGTTGTGAAGCGAAGTTACAAAGGATGTTGACGTCGGAATGTCGAGAAGCTCCCATCGCAAGAGAGGACCAAAACAGATGTTTGGTTGCGTGGTGCTATAGGGTAGCAGTGGTGATGATGAGGCTCCACGAGGTTTGATGGGCGGTGTAACTAACTGAGCGGACTTGAGTTTACAAAAAGCTCAGTTTAAAGATGACGAGATTTGGACGCATGTGAAGTGCCCCTTCCCTTTTGAGCTTGGGAAGTTGAAGGGATTTCTTGTGTTCTTTCCCAAAGAGTGAGTGATGAGTGATGATCTCTAGTAGGCGCTTTCCCCAGTTGATATCAGAAATGCCCCTGCTGATGTTGCACCCAATCTCTCTCTCTCTCTGCACTTTGGGTTTCAAAGGCAGGAATGGACAGTAAGGAAACACACTCGCTTGATCGGATTTCGTTTGGGTGTACTTTTTGTATCTTCCACATCTCAGATAGTATAGTCCATATTCTCTTTTTTTTTGGCATCAGGTCCGATAAAATAACGACGAAAGAGTTATGACGCGACTGGTCGACCTCATAAGTTCCCGAAACAGACCAAAGCAGCAATCGACCGAGTGGAAACGCCCACTGGAACGCCATCCGCGACCAATGTAACAAGAAAAAGCCCAATGTCGTCGGATCGGGCAATTCCCAGGGAGCAAGCCCAGATCATGACCAAATCGAGTAAGGGGACAGGTTACATGCCCCAGACGCCTGGAATGTCGGATGAGCCGCCCACATGTCCGGGCTTGGCTGCATTTTGTTTCCGCTTTTTGCACTTCCATGTTTGCAAATCCGATATGTCCAAGATGGAGATTACGTATATCCACCACGGCCGGCGATCAGAGAAAGCCCGGGGATTCGAGCGGTCGGATAAGAGAGGGCGAACGGCCCGATGGCATAGGGGATAACGCTGCCTGCTCCATTGATGGGCAGCGACAACAATTCGTCGGCGTGGAGACAGCCGCCGTCTGAGGTTACGAGTCAAATCATGGCTCGGGGAAACACCGGTAATGCTTTGGTGCTCGGAACCGACATTGTCGAATGGGATCCGATAAAATCCTCAAATGCTGGAGTCGAAGACGGCGGTGGTGGAGGAAGACGGCCCGGGATGCCGATTTCAGGTCAACGGAACGGGCTGCCGGACGGGCGATAGATAAGCAATTCTCCTGCTGCGTATGTAGCTAGGTAAGTTCTGTTTACTTGCATCTCCCCGTTTGACGCCATGTTTCTTGGCAAGCTCTTCTCCAACTTTCCCAACAAATCCAAAACCCCGTCTTTCTCTACACTTGCCGTCGTCACTCCATCGTCAATTCAACTTCAACGTCAAGCCAGTCGATATCGGATCATATGCTATTTACAAGGTTCAAGAGACCACGCAAAACGTCAAAGTCGATCCTCATTTCACACCGAGCCATGGTGCGAGGATACTACTGCCATACGACGCAGCATAACGCAATGGCAAGAGCCCGGGCTCTCATCAACCTCAGCCGGCCCTGCCTCCGCCTCGACAAGGAAGTCAAGGGACAAGGGTTGCCAGTCAACACTACGCTACGACTTGCAGCTTCGAAACCTCTCTCTCCAACCTGGTGGAGTTAAGCCCAAGGGTTATAACGACCTGACGCTCTAGCAACGGGCAACGGAAACGCCGTTGAATGGGACCGATAGGTTGCCACGCCAGACGCCACATTTTACCGATCTGCAGGCCCAGCGACACATTCACGGTGTCGTCCAGATCCCCGACTATCTCCAGCTTCACTCTCGTGCACCCTGACAGCAGAGTATATCTGCTCAAGTGTTTAACCCGGTCTGGATCTAGCCACCAAAGGACCATCACGGACAAGAGCGACTGCGAGACATATCGAGCAATATGATGCCGTCTCACTCTTCAAGCGCTTTCTTGGCATCGAGTGATGCAAACAAGAATGCGGATGCCCCAGGCTTGGCTTTACGCTAGGAAACCGTGGAAATGATGCCTAACTCTTGCTTTTTGAGCCCCGCTGAATGCCCATTATGACGGGCAAAGACAAAGGATGCATATATGCAACATAATCGTGGAGAAAGACTAACAGACAGTGCCTCTTCTTGGGCTGATATTCACCAATATCATCCGCTCATGCGGTCCGTCTCAACCGATATGGCTATACCCACTCGAGCTCAATAATCAAGGTCGCAAAAGCAAGCTCTCTACACCTCTCGATCCATCTACACTACAAGAAGCTACCGTTAGACCCAGCTCCCATCCGGCCCACTCCTACACCCCCCACGCTGATCCGCCTTGCCGATGTTCCTTTTTTCTATCCTCGCAATGTCTAGCTTCCTTTCCAGGGCAGATCGGGTCGATCAGCCCTCCATGCAGCTCGGCCATGCTTCTTCGATCAAGTGACCTCTGACACTTGTATCTAACGTACGGTTGCCCTACCCACGGGACCCCTGAGCTACTTTTTCTTCCCCCAAGATTACGCTTTGGATAAAGTCACCTTGCTTCCCGAAAGCCCCTGGCCAGGTACAAAGATACATGGTACATCTTGAGCTCCCATCATCCCGAGTTAACCTGGTGTTGCCTGTACGTACACTTTCGAACTTCTGACCCGGGCATGCTTACTCAGATAAAGAGCGGTTAATTCTCGGAAGTAAGAATGGAGGGTCGCCCCACATGTCCCCCGGTTGAGAGTCCCGGGAAAGTTGTATAAACTACCCGTCTCCTCCCGGTTCAAAATCATGTAGCGTACTCCAACACTCTTACCTGTTCTATCTGTCCCGTTGTTTTCCATCTGTATTTCAAGAACGCTAGCTGAATACTAAACATTGCTCGACGATAGACTCCCCTCGACGATTCATTGGTCACTCTATCCGTTGAGACTTCTTACACCGAGCTCTCACTCACGGACTCCAAGATCAGCCAGAATGACTTCACTTTCCTCGATCGCCGTTGGGGGAGGCCCCTTTGAGCGGGATACCGATCCCAATGCCTCCCCATCCAGTAGCATCGACAGCAACACTACCCCCGATACCGACTTCACGCCCATGGGAAGCCCATTCCAGGAGGCGGTCGTCCCTAAGAACAAGAGGCTCCTGGCGAAGAAGAAGTTGGCAAATCTGACACAGGAGGAGAAGGTGCGATATTCGATATATTTTCCAGCGAGACCGATAGGAAGCTGACACGACACAGATTTCCCTCCTAACTGCCGCAGACTTTTGGAGGACAAAGTCCATTCCGGAGAAGGGTATTCCTGCAGTAAAAACAAGTGATGGACCCAATGGTGCCCGAGGCGGTATCTTTGTTGGCGGTACCAAGGTGACTTCATAACCATCAAGCTGGCCAATTTTAGTTTAGTGCTAATCCTCAAATAGGCTGCATTATTTCCCTGCGGTATTTCATTGGCCGCCACATGGAACAAGGCCCTCCTCCGCGAAGTAGGCCGTCATTTGGCCGAGGAAGCAAAAGCTCGTCAGGCCAACATTCTCCTCGCGCCCACGGTCTGCATGCACAGGCATCCTCTGGGTGGAAGGAACTTTGAGTCTTTCTCTGAGGATCCGCTTCTCACTGGCAAGCTTGCCGCTCAATATATCAAGGGTCTTCAGGAGAGGGGTGTGGCTGCTACCATCAAGCGTGAGTTCCACCCGTTTATTGACCTGAAGAGGTATAAAGCTAACATGAGACAGACTTTGTTGGCAATGAGCAAGAGACAAACAGACTGACGGTCAACTCCGTGATTGCCGAAAGGCCACTCCGTGAGATTTACCTACGGCCATTTGAGATTGCCGTCCGCGAGGCCAAGCCATGGGCTGTCATGTCTTCTTACAACCTTGTAAATGGGGTTCACGCTGACATGAACACCCACACCTTGAAAGAGGTCCTTCGGAATGAGTGGAAATTTGATGGGTAAATGACCACCATCACCTCTCTCCTTGAGGATTACAAAGTCCACTAACACCGAGACAGTGCTGTCATGTCCGATTGGGGTGGCGTCAACTCTATCGCGGAATCCATCAAGGCCGGCTGTGACATCGAATTCCCCCACTCCAAAAAATGGCGTTATGAAAAGGTCATGGAGGCCCTGAACAAGGGCGAACTCTCCCAGGCTGACATTGACAGAGCGGCTGAAAACGTCCTTACTCTTGTCGAGCGAACAAAGGGAAGCGATCTGACACCCGAAGCTGCGGAAAGGGAAGATGACAGAGAGGAGACCCGTGAGCTGATCCGCGAGGCTGGTATTCAGGGTCTCACCCTTTTAAAAAACGAAGGGTCGATTCTGCCCATCAATCCCAAGACCACCAAGGTTGCCGTCATCGGCCCCAACGCCAACCGAGCCATCGCTGGAGGTGGTGGAAGTGCCAGCTTGAACCCCTATTACACCACCCTCCCTCTTGAAAGCATCCGCAAGGTCGCCGAAAAGCCTGTTACCTATGCCCAGGGCTGCCACATCTACAAGTGGCTCCCTGTTGCCTCTCCTTACTGCTCCGACAAGACTGGCAAACCCGGTGTCACCATCGAGTGGTTCAAGGGTGATAAGTTCAAGGGCGAGCCCGTAGTCATCCAACGACGAACCAACACCGACCTCTTCCTCTGGGACTCTGCTCCCC